ACAGAAAAAAACTGCCTAAGGCTCACCTCTTATATGCATACCAACCACTCCAGGGCCTATACTCCTAACCTCTTCTTTTAGCAAGCTCTTAGTGTTCCCTTTACCTAATTGCCCCAGGGCCAGGGACCAGATTGCAATAGACATTCCTAAATGCTGCAGCCTGTTGGAGTTAGCCAAACCAAACAATTCAAAACTTAAGCTCCTTCACCCAGTCCGTCCCTTGGAAACCACAATAAAGGCTCTGACCTTGTTTTCTGACTGACCTGGTATTTCCCTGTGTGCTCCCCATTCACAGCCTGCAGTGCCTTCTGTTTGTAGGGATCAGTGGTATAAGTCCCTTCTTCCTTCATGACAGTACTTTCTTTGTCTATGTGACTTAACACACATTTCAAACAAATCCTGGGGTTGGGTATGATGGTGCATACCAGTAATCCCAGCAGCTCAGTAGGCTGAGACAGGAAAATAACAAGTTCAAAGCCACCTTAGCAATTTAGCAAGACCCTGTCTCAAAATGAAAAATAAAAAAAAGGCTGGGGATGTGACTCAATGATTAAGTGCCCTGGGCTCAATCCATGGTGTCAAAACAAACAAGGAAAAAAAAAACAACAACCACCATTTCTGGTTACACTTAAAACAGTGAATGTACCTATATCTCCCCTACTATTTTATTTAGTATAAACAAACACAACTAGATAAGAGTTTGTTCCCCACATGAGTTCTGTTTTATCATTCTCAGAGCAAAGAGTCTACTTATTTGTTTATGAACTATCTTAGTATGCCTGGGATGCTAAAATAATAAACAATAAATTTACTCCTCACAGTTCTGGAGACTGGAAAATGTAAGGTCATGGTACCAGCTTTCCTGATTCATAAATAACTTCCTGCTGTGTCCTCACTTGCTGAAATGGGCAGATAAGCCCCCTTGGTTTATTTTGAAAAACACTATCCCATTTTTAAAGATAGTAATCTCTGGCAATAGGCATGCACTGTATACAGGTATATAGGGCTCTGCCCTCATGACTTCATCATCTTCCATAGGTCCCACTTCCTAATGCCATCACCTTGGAGGGTTAGAAATTCAACATATGAATTTGGGGGTTGGGAGTAGGGATACAAATATTCAGACCATAGTAAGAATTTTTGTTTAAGAAACTGGGTAGGGGCCTGGGGCTGTAGCTCAGAGGTAGAGCGCTTGCCTCACACGTGTGAGGCACTGGATTTGATCCTCAGCATCACATAAAAAATAAATTCATAAACAAAAATATTGTGTCCATCTACAACTAAAAAAACAAAAAAAGAAAGAGGGGCTGGGGATGTGGTTCAAGCAGTAGTGCACTCGCCTAGCATGCGCGCAGCCCTGGGTTCGATGCTCAGCACCACATACAAATAAAGATGTTGTGTCCGCCGGAAAAAAACTATAAAATAAATATTAAAAAATTCTCTCTCTCTCTCTCTCTCTTTAAAAAAAGAAAGAAACTGGGTGGGATTTGGAGGCGGTTGCTGGGGAAGTTTGAGGAATTAGGAATATCCCATATGTAATGAATTCTTAGTAAGTTTCAAACAAAAATCAGGTAGTCTGACATCTTCTGAATATCAAAGAAAACTATCCATTTCTAGAACTTCAATTGCCAGGCTCCTCTGTGTTTGCAAAGTATCTTTACAGTTAATCTGTCATTACTCACGTATGATAATAGTTGAGAGATGCTATAAGACTCACTTGGCTTGAAATACCTTGGCCAGTATGTAGTGGAGATTTCTTGGAAAGCTGGGAATGGAGCCACCATTTGACCCAGCTATTCCCCTTCTCGGTCTATTCCCTAAAGACCTAAAAAGAGCATGCTACAGGGACACTGCTACATCGATGTTCATAGCAGCACAATTCACAATAGCAAGACTGTGGAACCAACCTAGATGCCCTTCAATAGACGAATGGATAAAAAAAAATGTGGCATTTATACACAATGGAGTATTACTCTGCATTAAAAAATGACAAAATCATAGAATTTGCAGGGAAATGGATGGCATTAGAGCAGATTATGCTAAGTGAAGCTAGCCAATCCCTAAAAAACAAATGCCAAATGTCTTCTTTGATATAAGGAGAGTAACTAAGAACAGAGTAGGGACGAAGAGCATGAGAAGAAGATTAACATTAAACAGGGATGAGAGGTGGGAGGGAAAGGGAGAGAGAAGGGAAATTGCATGGAAATGGAAGGAGACCCTCAGGGTTATACAAAATTACATACAAGAGGAAGTGAGGGGAAAGGGAAAAATAATACAAGGGCGACAAATGAATGACAGTAGAGGGGGTAGAGAGAGAAGAGGGGAGGGGAGGGGAGGGGAGGGGGGATAGTAGAGGATAGGAAAGGCAGCAGAATACAACAGACACTAGTATGGCAATATGTAAATCAATGGATGTGTAACTGATGTGATTCTGCAATCTGTATACGGGGTAAAAATGGGAGTTCATAACCCACTTGAATCAAAGTGTGAAATATGATATATCAAGAACTATGTAATGTTTTGAACAACCAACAATAAAAATTAAAAAAAAAAAAGAATCTAAAGAATATTATAAGGATCTAAAAAGCCTCATACTCCTGTTACATAACTCTTGATATTTTCACTCCATCTCAAACTGGGTTTCATGTGTTTACTCTAAAGGTGCTTGAATGTTAAGAATCCTTGGTTCTGGTTTTGAATGCTATGTTGTAATTTACCACTGACTCATTCATCTGTACTCAAGTTTTTGGATGTAAATTTAGGTTAAATATGACTTCAGTTAATTTTTTAAAAAATTTTAAATATTTTATTTTTAGTTGTAGTTGAACACAGTACCTTTGTTTCATTTATTTATTTTTATGTGGTGCCAAGGATTGAACCCAGGGCCTCCCATGTGGTAGGCAAGCGTGCTACTGCTGAGCCACAACCCCAGCCTATTTTAAAGGTTTAACTATAACATACCAACAGCAACACTAGTACATTCTCTAGATTAAATTCTCCTTTGTTATAAAGACTTACACTATTTTTTTTTTACTTTTAGTTTTGGTATCGGGGATTGAACTCAGGGGTACTCGCCCACAAAGCTACATCCCAGGTCCTATTTTTTATTTTTATTTATTTATTTTTTAATTAATTAATTTTACAGTAGAATGTATTTTGACATATAGTAAACAAATATTTTTTTTTAAAGAGAAAAGGAGAGAGAGAGAGACAGAGAGAGACAGAATTTTTTTTTTAAAATATTCATTTTTTAGTTTTCGGCGGACACAACATCTTTGTTTTTATGTGGTGCTGAGGATGGAACCCGGGCCGCACGCATGCCAGGTGAGCGCACTACCGCTTGAGTCACACCCCCTTTTTTATTTTGTATTTCTCATTAGAAACAGGGTCTCATTGAGTTGCTTAGAACTTCATCATTGCTGAGGCTGGCTTTGAACGTCACTGGGATTACAGATGTGCATTACCCCATCCAGTCCCGCTTATACTAATTTAATGAGTCTTTTTTTTTTTTTTTAGTGATTGCTTATATTTTTATATTTATCTTTGAGGACTAACTCCCTCGCTTTTTTAATAATTCATTTCAATTCCTGATTTTTAAATACTATAAAGTGTTATTGAAATAGCTTATTATTTTCTTTATACTTATCCTGGATACAAAAAATGGTTTTTATCATAAAATTCCTTCAAGAGTTCTTTTTATTTTTTAGTACTGGAAATTGAGCTTAGGGGAACTCGACCACTGAGCCACATCCCCTAACCTTTTTTTTGTATTTTATTTAGAAAAAGGGTCTCACTGAGTTGCTTAGTGCCCCACCGCTGCTGAGGCTGGCTTTGAACTCGCAATCCTCCTGTCACAGCCTCCCCAGCTGCTGGGATTAGCCAAGAATTCTTTTTAAAGGGGCTGGGATGGTGGCTCAGTGGTAAAGCACTTGCTTAGCATGTGTGAGGCACTGGGTTCCATTCTCAGCACCACATGTAAATAAATAAAAGTCCATCAACAACTGAAAAAAAAATTTTAAATTCTTAAAAAAAGAATTCTTTTTAAAGGAACAATATGCTATAAAATTAAACAATGATCAAAACCAACCAAGCATATTCCCAGTTAAATAAAGAAATAATCTTGTGTGTGTGTGTGTGTGTGTGTGTGTGTGTGTGTATGTGTATTAGAGAAGATAAAAAGAATGAAGTAGGAAAAGTATTCTGTTATTGTGTTTTTGATATGGGGCCTTGCTATATTGCTCAGGCTGGTCTCCAACTCCTGGGCTCAAGCAATCCTCCTGCCTTAGCCTCTAGAGTAGCTAAGGCTACAGGTGTATGCCACTGTACTCAGCTCTAATTTATCTTTTAAAAATATAGGTCAAATCAGGTCTGCTAACAGAAAAAAATCTAATACACTTTACGTTTAGTCTTAAGTTAGTTAGAAATGCTTAAACCCAGGACTTGTGTATGCTAGGAAAATAATGTACTACTGAGTTTCATCCCTAGGTCCAGGCTTTTGATTTTTAAATGCCAAGTGGGAAGGTACGTCATTTCACTAGTCAAGAGATGATACAATTCAGTGGATTCAAAAGTATATACCTGCAGATGACTTTTGCTTCTACCAATTTTATTTAAAAAAGAGAAGTAAGCTGGGCATGATAATATAAATTTGTAATCCCAGAGTCTCAGGAGGCTGAGGCAGGAGGATTTAAAGTTTGAAGCAACTTAGCTGAGACCCTGTCTCAAAACAAAAAATAAAAAAGGTTGAATTTTGGGATGCTTTACATACATTAGTATGTAAAGCATCCCAAAATTCAATCCCCAGTACTGGGGAGGAAAAAACAAAATTTTTTTAAAATCAGATCTCATCACAGGATTTTTTTTTAAAAACAGCATTTGGGTATAAGACACATTTATACAATTAAATACTTTAAAGTATAACATGGCATATTATTTCCACAGATCATCACATATTAATGTATATGGATCATCTTTTTAAAATAACAAACAAACAAAAAACCTTTGAAACTCAGCACAATACTTCATTTATTTATTGTATAAGTTTGGCAACAGCACAAAAATCCAGCAACATTTTAAACATGTAAAAAAGTCAAATGTTGAATGGTATGGGGATTTTTTAAAACATCATTAGAAATAATGAGTACACATTTAAGATTCTGCAAAGCTACGAAAACGAGGGTGCTTGGCTTCTGAACATATACCACAAAACATACATAAAAAAAACAATATAATTTATCTTTACAAAAATTATAGCCAAGCAATAGAAACGAAGGCTGTTAATGATAAAGGTATGAGCTCATGTGTTGACCACATTTATCTTATACATGGAAATGCTACATCTTGTACCCTGAAATGCCATGTGCAGAGAGCCAAGCAAAGGAAATTGGGCTCATCACTGAGGTTAAGAATTGTTGAGAATACTACTACTCAATTAAAATTTTCTATATAGCAATTCCTGGACCAAAAGAATGTATTCCACTCTATATCTGAGAAGTTGAGACTTATTTGTTGGCAGTATAAAATTTCTGACCAGTATCAAAATTCTGGTAAAACACAAACTGAAGGCATTTTCTAGTGTATGATGTGTTACAGGGGCATCAACAAATGTGGAAGAAAAACCTAGATTTCACAATAAATTTCTGCTGAGCTTTGTCAAACCAAACAGCTCAACTATAAGGCAAGAGAAAATGCCCCCTTATGACAGGTTAGTGGGTCTCACCAAGTAAATATAGGAATTCAATCTTAGGAAAAGAACTTCCTGCATGAACAGATCTGAAAGAGTTGGCATTGAAAGGAGCGTCTAGAAATTAACTAACGCCTTAACATTCAATCATTGGTTCAGAAGCCTGATGAATAATCTGTTGGTATATATTATTAAATTAACTTTTTTTGGAATCAGCACCAGTCCCCAAAACCTCAAATTATAATATTTAATCTTGATTAAAATACATAATTTTTGTGCTATAGGAACACAACTATAATCAGTTAAAATAAAGCTGAACTGATTCAACTTATTGTATATTTTTAAGTATACAGGGTAGCAACTTAAATTTCTTTTATTTACTTGTGCTTTGTTTTGGGGCACTTTGATTGAAGAAAAAGTCATTTCATAGGATTACATCTTGCTAAAGCATTCCTTAGCATTGGTCCAAACTTGAATTCCCTTAAAAAAAAAAAAAAAGTATCTTTAAAATGTGATTCTGGAAAGATTCTAAAATCCCACATATTTGGTTTAGTGGCATACTAAGTTTTGCTTTTTTAAGTTAACTAACAAGTCCAGTAAATAGCTAATATAAGGAAATATCTAATGCTTCTGAAAATGTAAGAGAATTTCTTAAATGAGCTTATCTCCAAAATAGAAAAAGAACTTCTGTAACTTGTAAATTGAGTTTTCAAGGTTCAACCATAAACTCTTACTCATGTCATGCTTATTATTTCTACTAGTAAACCAAACAAGTTTTCTGGCAGTTTTATTCAAAGTAATATTTAAATAAAAGTTTTATTATTGACAAAACTAATTTTTATAATTAAATAATTTAATGATTAAGTTAATTATTGACTAAAAACTGACTGTGTTCTAAATTATGAAATCCCTCTCATGGTTCTGGTACACTACTTAACACAAAGCTATAGATAATCCAAATATGCCTTAACAAAAAAAGCATGGTTATAAAGATATAATAGTAAAACCTAACTAAGAGATAAAAACAAAGGATTTTTTTTTCAATAAGATATCCTACAATAATTGATTTATGAGAGAGGAATGTTTTCTTCAATACTTAAGCATTAAAGTATATCAATATTCACCAAGGCTTCAAACAATAGAAAAAAAATTTAGTTTCATTCCTCCTTAATGGGATACAAAAGGCAAATAATAAAAACAAAACATCTTTAAAATGTCTCAGATTGGCTGGATAAGTAACTAGATATAATAGTATTCACTGTTAGAATAAGATAGATCTCATGTACTGTCAAAGTTAGATGTCCATCAGATATCAAATGAAAGAGAAAAACTATATGTATATAATACAAAAACTAATGTATATAATACAATCCTGTTTTTGCGTATATTTTCTTAAATAATTGTATATATATCCAAAAATATCTGGAAGAATACACATAAAGGGATTTGGGGGAGATAGGGGAGAATTTTTACCTAACATGCTTCTGAATTATTTGACATTTTTGCAATGGGCATGTGTTATTTTTATAATAATTAATTTTAAAACTCTATAAACTGAAAAATTGTTTTTTAAAGGCTTTAGCCTACTTCATTCAATAAACTGGACAGATTGCCAATGAAAAGATAGACCAAAAAACACTTAGAAGTTCTATTTACTTTTAAAATACTTCATTCAGTTTTTATTTCAGTTTATTACTACTACGACTCATCTGATTATATTCAAGTAACACTTGGATTATATTCAATTAACACTTTGAATAGCTGAAATTATAATGATGCCATATATATATACACACACACAAGTAAAATATATAAAATACAGACACTGATATTTATCCAAGAAAAACTGATGTTGATCTTGACTTGTGGCACTTAATTCTAAACAAAAGGACATTATTCATTTTCATATATAAAAATCTATTCTACTTAGGCAAGGAAATAAAACATGAGCCAGGCAAAGTGGCACACACCTGTCATCTCAGTGGCTTGGGAAGCTGAGGCAGGAGGATTGTGAGTTCAAAGCCAGCCTCAGCAAAAAATGAGACACTAAGCAACTCAGCAAGACCCTGTCTCTAAATAAAATACAAAATAGGGGTGGGGATGTGGCTCAGTGGTTGAGTGCCCCTGAGTTCAATCCCTGGTACCCCAAAAAAGAATAAAACAGAAAACATCCCTTCTTTTTTTTCTTTTGGTATTATTATTAGGAATGATATTTTACTGCACTGTCAAGAACATCATATAATCAAAGTTATACTGTCAGTACATATTTTCAGATACAAGTTATAAATGGGGCATATAGATTTGAGAGTTTATTTATAAAGTGGAAACACAATAACTGACCTTTTTAATTACAATCCTTCAAAATTAGGTAGAGAAAATTGGAAAAGTTTTAGAAAGGAAGAATGAAAAAAATATTTCTGGGGGCCAAACAAGAGAATTTATAGAAATGTGTAAGCACTTGTGAACGTATCCATTATTTTTGCAGAACTCAAACCTACCTTTTTACACATGCTGATCTGCATGACAGCATAACTTATGAGGGCCTCCTTTAGGTCACGGTTCTTTTGTTCTTTGAATCGTTCAATATCAGTCCACGCATTTTTCACAAATTCTCTGAAATAAAAGATAAAGTTATTAGTATTCTTAGTTAAATTAAATAGACATTGGATGGGATGTAGCTCAGTGATAGAGCACTTAACTGGTATACACAAAGTACTGTGTTCCATCTCCAGCACCACACAAAAAAAAATAATAATAAAATAAATAGACTGTACACTATAAATTCAACTAACCATTCTCTTCAGAGATGGTTTTTAATTGGCTACATCAAAACCAAAGCTATTGCTTGTATAAGACAGTTCTATTTTTCCTTTTCCTATAAATTACAGTGAGGGGAAAATGTCAGAGATATAACTCATCTACATTCTAATAACTACATTTTGTTCACAAATTATTCCTTTAAAACAGATGTAGGGGCTGGGGTTGTGGCTCAGTGGTAGAGTGCTTGCCTAGCACGCGCGAGGCCCTGGGTTTGATCCTCAACACCACATAAAAATAAATAAACAAAATAAAGGTATTGTGTAAAAAAACAGTTGTAAATTGGCTCCCTGAATCAGCTCACAAGTCCTACAGATGCCACAATGAAGTGCCTTCCTGGGTTCACTGGAAAAAATATACCTTTTTTTTTCTTCCACTGGAGACTAAACCTAGGGCATACTCATGCATGCTAGCCAAGAGCTTTACCACTGAGCTCCATCTGTAGTCCCACCACACATACTTTATTTTTGAGGCAGGGTCTCAATAAGTTGCCCAGGCTAGCCTTGAATTTGAAATCTTTCTAGCTCAGCCTCCTAAGTACTGGTATTATAAGTGTGTGCCACAGTGCTTGGCAAACATATACTCTTGAGATGGATTATGAAACACATTCAGCATGTACATGGTTTAAATAATGTCTAGGGTTTTAAAAATTCTAACTGTGTAGCCAGGTGCAGTGTCACACGCCTATAATCCCAGTGGCTTGGGAGGCAGCAGAAGCAGGAGGATTCCAAGTTCAAAGCCAGCCATCACAACTTAGCTAAGCTTAGGTAACTGAGTGAGACCCTGTCTCAAAATAAAAAGGGCTATGGGGCTGGGGTTGTGGCTCAAAGGTAGAGTGCTCACTTAGCATGCATGAAGCACTGGGTTCGATCCTCAGCACCACATAAAAATAAAATAAAGATATAGAAATAAAAAGGGCTAGGCATGTGACTCAGTAGTTAAGCACCCCTAGGTTCAATCCCCAGTACCAAAAATAAAAATAGTGCTGGGTACAGAGGTACACAGCTACCATCCAAGCTGTGTGGCCCAGGGGTTCATGACCATTTGGGCAACACAGTGAGACCCTGTCTGAAAAAAAATTTTAAATGCTCACAGGCACTTTCCTTTTCAGTTCAACTCATGAAAGTTCACTTTGACTTATTTGGTGTAAGCCAATAATACACTCTTGGACTGCCTTGGTACATTTTACTGACTGACTGTCAGATGAAAACAACAATAAAGAAAATGAACTAAACAGTGATAGCAGATCTGAGAACTGAATTTCTAGAAATATTTACAGATTAATTACATGAAAAGCACTATGCAAGGTATCGAAGAACAAAAAAATGTAAGACACAGTCCTTAACTTTGAAGTTATCCAGGGAGAGCTACACAGAACAACCAACCACCCAACACAGAACTGCCATGCTTCAACGTCAGGAATCAAGTGCTAAGATCGCCTGAGAAGATAAGGGAAGGCTTCACAGTGAAATAACCCTTAAGCTGGGTACTGAAGATGATCAGGCTTTTTGCTAAATGGGGCAAGAGGGCAGAGAGAATGTGCCAAGAATAGAAATTAGGAAGTCTACGAAAGTAATATTATGAACTTGAAACCCCATGTTTTCTTCCTTTTCCCCCCACACTAATATAAATGTTTCTATAACATGATTTTTTGATAACTTAAATTTCTTAGGAATGTAATGACTACATTTTAGAGGAACAGGCTATACCCAGAGGGGTCAATGAAGCTGGGAAATATTATTAAATAAATAAATAATCCAATGGTAGTCCAGGTTGAACTTCTCAGAATTTTTACCTGCCTTCCAAATTTTTAGACTTTAGCTGTTGTTCTCCTTCATTTATTTGTTCTTCTAACACCTTGATTCTGGCTTCTCTTTGCTCTGGAGTTTCTTGACCAAAGAGCTTGGTAGTCATTCCCTTCAAAGAGAATGTCCTCACAGTCTAAAAGAAAATAGAAACAGAAGAATAGATAGTGCGATATATATACCTGGTGGAATATTATTTAGCCTTAAAAAGGAAGGAAACTATCACATGTGCTACAACACAAATGAGCCTAGAGAACATTATGCTAAGTGAAATATGCCAGTCAAAGACAAATACTATGGGGCTGGGGTTGTGGCTCAGTGGCAGAATGCTTGCCTAGTATGTGTGAGGCTCTGGGTTCAATCCTTAGCACTGCATACGAAAATAAATAAAATAAAAGACAAATACTATATAATTCCACTTAAATTGATGTATCTAGAGTAGTCAAAATTATAGTGAAAGAAAGCAAATGTGGTTTCCAGGAATTACAGAGAAGTAGAAGAGGAGTTGATTAATGGGAACAGAGTTTTGCAAAATGAAAAGAGCTCTAGAGATGGGTTTGCACAACAATACGAAAATATTTAGTATTACTAAACTATACACTTTAAAAATGGTTAAGAATGATAAACTTGGGGCTGTGGTTATAGCTCAGTGGTAGAGCGCTTGCCTAGCATGTATGAGGCACTGGGTTTGATCCTTAGCACCACATAAAAATAAATAAAATAAAGGAATTTTGTCTATCTACAACTAAAAATGCATATAAAAATTGTAAATTTTATGTTATGTGTATTTCATAGCTCTCCACTCTCAGAAATAAAAAACACTGGCCATTTCTCCCTACTACTTTCGATAGAAGCACCATAATCTTTATAACCACAGGACTCCTAATATGATTTCTAATACCGGAATAATAAAGAATTGTCAAAAAGGAGGAAATTAGTGGCACAGATCTGTAATCCCAGCTACTAAGGAGGCTGAGGCAAGAGGATTACAAGTTCAAGGTCAGCCTGAGACTTGGCAAAACCCTCTCAAAAGAAAAAATAAAATTAAAAAGGGATATCTCAGTGGTAAAGTGCCTAGCATGCACAGACCCTGGGTTCCATCCCCAGTACCACATAAAATAAAAGATTACTCTGACAAAAATAAAACAAAACAAACAACAACAAAACAGATAAAATTCAACAAGCAACTATGCTTGGAAATAAACCAAACTAAAGAAATATATTTAAAATCTGCATATCTCACCCTGAAACTTAAGAATCTATTACTAGAACAGGATGCCTAAACCCAAGCATTACAGGGCAACCTCAAGCTTTGCTGTTTTACTATTTCCTTACTCACTGGAGTTTGTTAATGAAAGCACTTCCCGTCACATGAAGTAACAGAGAACCATGCTTACTGAAAATGTCTTGGGACTTCCTATGAGTTCAGGAATAAATCAAAGACCTAATCTAATGGCTTATGGTCAGAAATCTTTTCCTACACATATGTATTACTTTTCATAGATGTTACAAGTGAATAATCTATGTGAAAACCACTTTTAAAACTAAAGTACTAGGGGCTGGGAATGTGGCTCAAGTGGTAGTGCGCTCGCCCAACATGCGCTGGGCACTGGGTTTGATTCTCAGCACCACGTAGAAACAAAATAAAGATATTGTGTTCACCTAAAAAAATAAATATTAAACAAAAACCACTCAAGTACTAGTTAACCATGAAGTGACTGAGAAAACAGTGGCACTATCATTGCTTCACAAATACTTTCAAAATATGTCTCTCATCGTAGCAGCTAATGTATTTCAGTGAAGTAGCTGAACAGTACAGAGCTGATTATAAAAATGACCTAAGTATATGCAATTCGATATTGGGCCAGGTGTGGTGGCACATATCTATAATCCCAGCAACTCAGGAGGATTGAAAGTTGAAGGTCAGCTTTAACAACTTAAGGAGACCCTGTCTCAAAACAAAAAATAAAAAGGGCTGAGGATGTAGGTTAGTGAAAGAGTGCCCTGGGTTCAATTCCCAGTTTAAAAACAAAACACACACACACACACACACACACACGCACACACACACAGAAAAAGAAAAAAGATACAACATTTTCTTTACAAGTATGCATTGTAAGCATTAAAGAATAAAGTACACAAAAAGCTCCTTGTTAGGAGAGATAAATTGATTCTAATTGGATAAAATTTTTCAAAGTAAACTAAAACTTCTATAAAATACCTTTCCAAATTAAATTAAACCTGACCAATCCCCCCCCGCCCCCGCTCTTTTTTGGTACCAGGGATTGAATCCGGGGGTGCATTACCGCTGAACCACATCCCCAGCCCTTTTTATACTTTATTTAGAGACAGGGTCTGGCTGAGATACTTAGGGCCTCACTAAGTTGATGAGGCTGGCTTTGAACTTGTGATCCACCTGCCTCAGTCTCAAAAGCTGCTGGGATTACAGGTGTGTGCCACCATACCAGGCCTGACAAATTCTTATAATATCATACAGAACATGTTTTTTTTTTGGGGGGGGGGGCGGGGGTGTACCAGGGATTGAACTCAGGCACTTGACTACTGAGCCACACCCCAACCCCTATTTTGTAATTTTATTTTATTTTATTTTTTTGATAGAGAATTGAACTCAGGGGCACTCGGCCACTGAGCCACATCCCCAGCCCTATTTTGAATCTTTATTTAGAGACAGGGCAACTTTATTTAGAGACAAGCAACTCACTGAGTTGCTTAGCGCCTCACCTTACAGAGATTGGCTTTGAACTTGTAATCCTCCTGTCTCAGACTCCCAAGACGCTGGGATCACAGGCGTGCACCACCGCACGGAGCCTGATATCTTCTTATATCAAGAAAACTAAATAATTAATACAGTTGCTTACAAATTATTCTGTAAAAGGTACAAGCATACTGTGTATTATAACTGTACCTGATTCCTCATGAGCCTTGCTATAATAATACCAAAGACCTAAAGAAAAATACTCACCCCAGTTGCAAGTTCTTCACACTGCTGCTTCTTGGAAGCTAGATCCTGGGCAGCCATCTCCAGGTCATACTGCATAAGTTCATGTTTCCTGCACACAGCCCTGGGGATGAAAATAGTGCTGCCATTTAACTTTTTCTGGCTTCTCCTTTAACATGTTAAGAAATTTTTTTTTTTTTCAGGAGTGCAGGGAAGCATTCACAATTCCTTACTAGTTCTGACATTTACTAGAGGAAGAGAGAGAGTGAGAGAGAAAGAGATTCTAATACAGAAATGAACAACATCAAAATGTCAAGAATCCTCTTTCCCCCACTCCTACTATCCAGGCACAACTCATGTACAGCCTTCTAGAATTTCTTTTTTTTTGGTACCAGGGATTAAACCCATGGGTGATTAACCACTGAGTCACACCCCCAGCCCTTTTTTGTATTTTATTTAGAGATGGGGTCTCGCTGAGTTGCTGAGGGTCTCACTAAATTGCTGAGGCTGGCTTTGAACTTGAGATCCTCCTGCCTCAGCCTCTTGAGCTGCTGGGATTATAGGGGTGCGCCATCATGCCTGGCTTCCTTCTAGAATTTAGATAGGCATTTACAAAGTTCACACATTCCAAATGGTTCTACAACTTTTCTTACTTATATATGCCATGTCAATATACATTAATCATTATTTTTAGGAACTGCACAGAATCCACTGTATTCAGCAACTTTCTTTTCCTTGGTGACTTAAAGATACTTTGGTGAAACTGACTGCTACTGAAATCACTAAAGGAAAAAAGCTAACAATGTGCAAGTGTTTTAAACACAATTACTTAACAGTTATACTACTTTTCTGTTTTCCTAACAGAATTCTTATATTGCTTTTTTGCAATAGGGAAACTGATCAAAAGTCACCTCTTCCAGAAAAATGATTAATTTCCCTAAACTGAATAGAAAAAAAAAATACAGTAATTAAAAAAAAAAAAAAAATCAAATAGGATTATCTAGCAGAGAATTCTGTTGCTTCCAAAGAAAATACCATAAAAACATGGGCTGGGGTTGTGGCTCAGTGGTAGAGCCCTCGCCTGGCATGTGTGAGGCCCTGGTTCAATCCTCAGTACCATAAATAAATAAACAAACAAACAAATAAATAAAATAAAGGTTATTGTGTCAATTACAACTAAAAAATATTTTTAAAAAATACCATAAAAACAGAAGCAATATCCTTGATATTAAAAAGTTTTAAAAGCTACTAAGCTAAGGGATACAAGTATGAGAAAAAATGCAGAATAAAAATGGCAATATACAGCTGGGGATGTGGCTCAAGCGGTAGCACGCTCGCCTGGCATGCGTGCGGCCCGGGTTCGATCCTCAGCACCACATACAAACAAAGATGTTGTGTCCGCCAAAAACTAAAAACTAACTAAATAAATAAATAAAAATTAAAAATGGCAATATACAACCCAGTGACAGTGCTACACAACACTCCATCTGTATTTTGCTCCCAATCTTCAAATTGGAGAAAGTAGAAAAAACAAATACGCCGATGAACATGCCTGAGACTGGCAGGTTTTATCGCTACGCAGTTTCAAGGACAGGCCTTCTCTTATAATTTTACACCTAGCACTCTGCAACACAGAGAATACAATAAGAACTCATTCACTATCTGAGGGAATGAATTTATTCATTTATTTATTTATTTTAGTTGTAGATGGACACAATACCTTTCTTTTTATGTGGTGCTGAGGATCAAACACCATGCCTCACACGTGATAGGCAAGCATTCCACCACTGACCTACAGCCCCAGTCCAAATTAATTCATTTAAAAAGCACCTTATTATCTGTATTCTACACAAACACAATGAAAGTATGAGGATCAATCACAGGACTGCATCTGGAACTTTCATTAATTACTCACCGTAGTGCTTCTGCATAAAAAAGGTATTCCTTTAACTGATCTGCATAATGTTCTTCATCTTCCAAAATATCATCAATAGAAGATGCATACCTGTTTTTAAAAACACTGCATTAAACGAGTAACTTTCACTGGGACACAAAGCATTAACATTCTAAAAAAGTGTTTTTCAAAGTATGATCTACAGACCACTGACTACCTGTCAGTGACAAATTAGGAAAAGTGAAAATTATCATAGGGGCTGGGGATGTGGCTCAAGCGGTAGCGCGCTAGCCTGGCATGCGTGCGGCCCGGGTTCGATCCTCAGCACCACATACAAACAAAGATGTTGTGTCCACCGAAAACTAAAAAATAAATATTAAAAAAATTCTCTCTCTCTCTCTCTCTCAAAAAAAGAACCATTTGTAAAAAAAAAAAAAAGAAAGAAAATTATCATTTAGAAACATTAATGGCAATTTGTAATTGGTATGCTAATTTTACTGAATTTTGCCGAACTACAAAGACTTAGAAATAAAACAAACAAATAAAAAATAGTCCTTCTTAAAAAGAAAACCTGATCTACTGGAATCTTTTTTTTTTTTTTTTAATTTTTTAATCCTTTTTAGTTGTTGATGGACCTTTATTTATTTATTTGTATGTGGTGCTGAGAATCGAACCTAGTGCCTCACACATGCTAGGCAAGTGTTCTATCACTGAGCTAAAACTCCAGCCCTCTATTGGAATCTTTTGTTCAAAGAGATTATAAAATGGCTATAAAATCCATAAAAAGTATGAGTTTGGTATAATTGGTACACACGTTTTTGATTGCAACTATTTATAGTAATACCAAAAAGCTGCAAGAGGAAAAAGTAAATGAAAATAATAGAAAATAATAGAAATTGGGGCTGGGGCTTATTTCTGATCTCTTAATAACAATTTATAATTAAAATTTTATCAGAGTAATGTCTCACCTGTTGTTTTTATTTCTGATTACACTGTAAATTCTGTAAACACAAGGGCTATGTGTATATAGTGCTTCTCTGTCATTATAAGAGGCATCTTTCGAATTAATTCTAATCCCTTAGCATGAAAATAAAAAGTACATATAGTTTATGCTTCCAGGACTATTTCAGCTATACAAATAAACCACATTTACCAAAGTTGTAAAACAAAATAAAACTATGTTCAAGTTCATTTGAAAAGCAACATATTTGGGGGACTTATAAAAGCAGGTAACGTATATATTATGTAATTACAAACCTATATCTACAATTGTGAGGAATTTTATCTATGTAACTGACAAAGTCTTGATAACTACTGTTAAGAGCAGGAGAATCTTAGGGGCTAGCTCAGTGGTACAGTGCTTGTCACAAAGCCCTGGGTTTGATCCCCAGCAGAAGAAAAAAAGAAGAGCACTTGAAGAATTAAATAAATAAATAATTAAAAAGAGGAAAATCTGGCTTTAGTTCATAAATCTAAATCTATGCTTTTAGAAGAATTAATGTTAAGAAATGAACAAAAAAGGGGGACCCATAGGGCTGAGGGCTTGAAGATTAAAATTATAATGTAGGGATAATCGGTCATATCATATCCTCAGAGGAGAATAAATGGTAAAGACTTTAAGATACATATACTGAGAATAATTTTTAACATGTCAATAAATGATCCTGAATTCTTGCAAATACTGAAATGCTAAATTAACAGAATGCAGGAAAGCTTATGAAAAAAATAGCCAGTAAGCTTGAATATGGCCCTGAGGAAAGAAAGCCCTATTTATATAAAATATTTTTTTTGCCCCCACCATAGCTTTAAGATAGAAATGACTAAAACTATATGTAACTACAGTGTACAATGTGATGTTTTGATATAAGTACACACTGTGCCAGGATTAATTCAAGCTAATTAACATAGCAGTCACCTGACACACTTTTTTGTATGAAAAAATTTAAGATCTAGCCTCTCACACGCCAGGCAAGCGCTCTGCCACTGGGCTAAGGCCCCAGCCCACCCCCGGCTCTTTTACTTTTTATTTTGAGACAAGGTCTGGCTAAGTTGCCCAGGCTGATCTCCTACTAATCCTCCTCCTTGGTGGCCTGAGTCCTTGGAATTAAAGGCATGCACTGTTGACTCTAGCCCTTTGTAACAAATTGTAAATCTAGAGTTCAGTGGCATTAAATCCTTTCACATCACTATCAAGTATTCTGAACTTTTCATCTGTCCAACTGAAACTGTACTCCCCTCTCTTTTTTCCTTCCCCAAATGGACTTTTTTTTCCCCCCTGTATTGGGGACGGAGGGGACCCAAGGCCTCCCTAGCTGAGCTATATCCACAGGCCTTTTTATTTTATTTTCAGGTCTCACTAAGATGCTGAGGCTGGCCTTAAACTTGTGATCCTCCCGCTTCAGTCTACTGAGTAGCAGGGATTACAGCATGTACTCCTGGGCCCAGTTTGATATCTCTTTTGGTAAGCAGTAATTTCAAATTTTCATAAAGCCCAATTTAACATTATTTTTTTTTCTTTTAATGTCTCTTTAAGAGTCTTTGCTTATGCCAATGTGGCAACAAGATTCTCCAATATTTTCAACTAAAACCTAGAATTTTGGTTTTTAAACTTATATATATAATCCAAATTTAATTTGTATAAAATGTGATATATGTTTCAAGGTTCATGTCTCCCCACATAGACATCCAGTTTTTCTAGCATCATTATGTTGAAATGGTCTATAGAAGTATGGATCTAGGTTATATAGTTCAGTGGTAGAGTGTTTGCCTACCATGTGTGAAGCTCTGAGTTCCATCATCAGCACCAAAAAATAAATTTAAAAAAAAAATTGTGAATTTATTTCTGCAGTCAGTTGTGTTCTATTGCTCTGTTTATGCCAATACCCTACAATATAGCTTTATAGTAAATCTTAAAAATAGGTAATATATTCTAGTTTTTTTCTTTGTCAAAATTGTTTTGACTATTCTAGGTCCATAGAATTTCCATAGAAAAGTCACTGAAATTTTGACTAGGACCACAATTTGGGGAGAATGGATGTGTTAATCCATGAACATGATTATTTAGGTCTTCTTTAAGTTCTTCAGGCAATGTTTTATGTTCAGTGTAGAGGTCTTCCAACATCTTTCATTACATCAATCAATAAGTATTATGTTTTCATGCTATTATAAACCATATAGTTTTAAAATTTTTATTTTCTAATTGTGGTACCAGGGATTAAAACCAGGGGTGTTCTACAATGGAGCTATATACCCAGCACCCACTTTTTAAAAATTGTTCTTTTGAGACAGAGTCTCACTAAATTGCTGAATCCTGTCTTAAACTTGAAATCCTCCTGCCTCAGCCTCTGGAGTTGCTGGGATTACAGGTATGTACCACAGCGCCTGGCAAAACTATTGATTCTGATATATTAATCTGATATCCTGACCTATTAAAATTCAGTTTTTAGTTCCATAGGTTTTTGGTTGATTTATTGTGATTTTCTAAGTAAACAATCTTATTGTCTGCGAACAAAGAAAATTTTACTTTTTTCCAATATTTATGCTTTTTACTTAATTTTCTTGCCTCAATTCACTGAGTAGAACCTGCAGTAAAATGTTTATTAGGAATGGTGAGCACAGGAAACCATACCTTGTTCATGACCTTAGGAGAAAACGTCAGTATTTCACTCTTATTCATTTATTTATTCTGAGATAGGGTATCTCTATGTTGCCCACACTAGTTTCAAAACTCCTAGACTCAAGTGAGCTTTCCATTTCAGCCTCCTAAGTAGCTAGAACTATACCTAAGTACCACTGTGCCCACCTAATATAACACTAGACATGAATTTCAGACAGAAGAAATTCCCTTTTATTTCTAGTTTGATGAGAATTTTTATTATAAATGAGTGTTGAAATTTGTCAAATAAATATTTCTACATATATCAAAATGAGTATGCAGGTTTTTAATCTTTATTCCTTTAATATATGAATGAGACTATTTTTTTTTTTTTTGGCAGGGGTTGGGGAGAGACCAGGGATTGAACTCAGGGACACTCAACCACTGAGCCACATCCCCAGCTCTTTTTGTATCTTTTTTTAAAGACAGGGTCTCACTGAGTTGCTTAGTGCCTTGCTGTTGCTAAGGCTGGCTTTGAACCGGCAATCCTCCTGCCTCAGCCTCTTGTGCCACTGGAATTACAGGTATGCACCACCATGCCTAGCAAGACTAATTTTTTTTTTAATATTTATTTTTTAGGTGTAGATGGACACAACACAATGCCTTTATTTTTTTATGTGGTGCTGAGGATCGAACCTGGGTCCTGCTCATGCTTGGCGAGCGCTCTACCACTGAGCCATAATCCCAGCCCATTTTTTTTTTAATTTATTTTTTAAGTTGTTGACGGACATTTATTTTATTCACTTATTTATATGTGGTGCTGAGAATCGAATCCAATTTCTCACACATGCAAGGTAAGTGTTTTACCACTGAGCTACAAGCCCAGCCCCACAAGACTAATTTTTAAATATTAAACTAATTGTGCATTTTGAGATTAAGTCAGATCTACACACACAAAACATAATATAAATTCCAGTAAACCTGATAAAAACAGAAGCCTAGAAGTCACTAACACTCCCCCACTCAAGTTCACCTCAGGTTTATGTTAAGTTCTCTAGGTACTCACACATCCATATGATGACCAGCACTCTGTAGCCCATCACCCATTTCTTTTTCTATGGCACTCCATTCACTGGAAGAAAGATAAAACCAGAAGCATCATGAACTAGAGACATGGAATATTATTAAATGGAATCCTTTACAAGATTCTTTTCTAGCTAGCTTTGAAATACTTTATAGTATCCATATTTGGATTTATTTTCTGTGACTCAAATATGCTGTTTTCCCCTTAAGTTTAATAATTAACTGTAAGTAAAGGCTTCAGAGTTGGTATCTGCTGCTTAAAGCAAGGTAAGTAACATAACAAAACAGCTTATACTTATAGGTAAAATTCTTTAATCCTAAAGATTTAAATCAATTGAGGAGTTTTTAAAAAAATGGGGTGTTACTTTTAACTACTTAATCGTCATCTCTGGGACATGTGTAGTTTTTTTTTTTTTTAGTTGTAGATGGACACAATACCTTTATTTTTTATTTTTATGTGGTGCTGGGGATCGAATTCAGTGCCTCACACATGCTAGGCAACACTCTACCACGGAACCAAAACCCTGGCCCAGTGTGTATTTTTAAATGCTCACTGGATGATATTGATGAACATGACATTGTTCTATAGCTAATAAAAAAAAGTACTGTACAGAAACATTAGGTGCATAGTAAAACTTTAGTAATAATTTGCATGCTGCATGAGAAGAAACACTGATCATTTTATTATTATTTCTGTGAAATATTTCTCATAAAAAATTCTTGTTATGAAACTTATATGTGATATTATAGTAAAGTGGAAAAACAAACCTATAATCCCAAATACATGTTGAGCACCTTTAATCTAAAAATCTAAAATGAAGGGGAGGAAGAGAAACAAATAAATAAAAATCGGAAACACTCCAACATTTGAAACTTCCGGAATGCTAACATGATGATGCAAATGGAAAACTGTATACATTACTTCATGTGGTAGGTCACAGTCAAAACACAGGTGTACTAAAAATATGGCATGATACTACCTTCAGACCATATGTAAAAGGTAAATATGAAACAAATTAATTTCGTGTTTAGATTTTGGTTCCATCCCCAAGATATATGATTATACATATGTGAAGATACCAAAATCCAAAACACTTCCAGTTCCAAGAATTTCAGGTAAGGGATACTTAATCTGTACTAAGATATGACATAATTTTAGTCCTTCTATGTTTTTATTTGTGTATTTTAATTTGGCTACAATTATATTGTATAAGCAATTTTGTGTTGTGTGTTTTCCCCATACCATTACATTTCCAACAATTTTTCTAAACACAGTTTCAAGTGGCAACCCACAATCTTTTGAACCATTTTCCTGCTCCTACAAGGCTGTTTGAGATTTTTGTTGTTGTTGTTAAAGAATGTATAATAAAAATGGTAAGAAACTGGGGTTGTAGCTCAGTGGTAGAACACTTGCCTAGCATGCATGAGGCACTGGGTTTGATCCTCAGCACCACATTAGATAAATAAAATAAAAAAGTAGGGCTGGGGTTGTGGCTCAGTGGTAGAGCGCTCACCTGGCATGTGCAAGGCCCTAGGTTGGATCCTCAGCACCACATATAAATAAAATAAAGGTATTGTGTCAGCTACAACTAAAAAATATTTAAAAATTAATAAAAATTAAAAAGTACTGTGTCCATCTACAACTAAAAAAATTTTTTTAAATGTTAAATACTGGAGCTGGGTTTGTGGCTCAGTGATAGAGTGCTTGCCTAGCATGTGTGAGGTACTGGGTTTGATCCTCGGCACCACATTAAAAAAAAATAAGAATGATTAAAATATACATTTAAAAAAATGTTGAATACTGCTTTTTTTTTTTTTGTGGTATTGGGAATTGAACCCAGGGCATGTGAGGCAGGCACTCTACCAACTGAGCTATATCCCCAGTCCCAAATACTGCTACTCTTTTAATACGAAGTTTTTATATCATAATCTTGAAATATCAGATTGTATGCTTATACTACCAGAAGGAAAAAAAAATGGCTTTTAAATATCTATCTGTAGATCCAAAGCCACATTTCTATGCCCACAAGACAATTCTGCTTTAATGTACTTTTCTCACTTGAATCTTTTTTTGGTGGTGCTGAGAATCAAACCAAGTGCCTCACGCATATGAGGCAAACCCTCTACCACTGTGCTACAAACCTTTCATTTCAAATTCAACATATCTAAAACTTAGATTGATATTGTGAGATAATGCAATAAAGGTTAGAAGTGAAATAATTGGGTTATATGAGTCTTAACCGTGCTGGGGTTCTAGCTCAGTGGTAGAGCGCCTGACTTGCATGTGTGAGGCACTGGGTTCAATTCTCAGCACCGCATATAAACAAGTAAACAAAGGTCCATCAATAACTAATAAAATATATAAAAAAAATAGTCTTAATCTAATCAGTGCATTAATTCTCTAATAGGGGTTAATTTGGTGTTAACTGTAGGCAAGTAGGGTGTAGCTGGACGACTTGGATCCCTGAGCTCCTTCCTGCCTTTGAGGTTTATATTTTGTAGTGGTAAAGAGAACTTGCTCACTCTTTCTCTCAGCTTTGTGGTACCATGTCCTAAGCTGCATTCCTCTACCACGCTTCCATCATGATGTTCTGCTTACCTTGGAACCACAGCAAAGTAGCTGGCTATCTATGGACTGAGACTTCTAAAATTATGAGCCCCCAATTAAACTTTTCTTCCTCCAATTGCTCTTATCAGGTCTTTTGGTCATAGCGATGAAAAACCTCACTGAAACACTACATCTTTTCAAGGAAAATAAAATCTGAGAGTTTGGGAAGACATCAAGTGCAACTAGCCGAATGTATACCATGGTGATCACATCAATGTAACCATTCAATCATGTTAATGGAAATAATGGACCATCCAGATGATTATCTACTGAATGTCCCATAGGTATTTATCTAATTTTTAGCATTTTGTTATTGGTACCACCTCAAGATGAACATAAAAGAATTTAATTCTTTTGATTCCTAAATAAGACTAAAACTTAGTGTGAGGAGGGCAAGACTTAGTTAAATTTTTTCTTATTCCTATTAAATAGTTTAGTGCTTGATAAATACTTAACATTTATAGTTGCAGGTAAAATGAACCAATTATGAACTAATACATTTGAGAAAAGAAATATTTACTAAGTTCTACATACAAACCTCTGGTAGGTATCAGAATGATCAAAATGAAGACTTTTCCCCTCAAGGTCTAGACCTTTGCTACTCAAACTGGTTTAGCAAAAAACTGGAAGTTTGCTAGAAACATAAAACCACAGGACTCACTCCAAATCTACTAAAGCAGAATGGGCATTTTACATTCTTGCCTCTCTAATACAAGTTCATCTATTAATTATAATAAATGTGCCACTTTTGAGATGGTCTGATTTATGCTAATTTTCAAGATATCTTTTTTTAAAAAAATTTTGTTTTTTAGTTGTAGTTGGACACAATACCTTTATTTATTTATTTATTTATTTTTAATGCTCTGCTGAGGATTGAACCCAGGGCCTCACACGCACTGAACCACAACCCCAGCCCCTCAAGAGATCTTAATCGGCTGATTTTTATCTTTTTCAAATACTGAGTATTGAACCCAAAGGCACTCTTATCAATGAGCCACATCTCCAGCCCTTTCTTTTAATATTTTGTTTTGAGAAAGGGTCTTATTATATTTCCTAGGCTGGCCTCAAACTTGTAATCCTTTTGTTTCAACCTCCCAAGTAACTTGGATTACAGGTGTACAACACCATGCCCAGCCATCTGTTAGTTTTTAAATAACCACTGTTACCAGGCTTAACTGGAGTTATGGTTTGGAAATATAATAAAATCAGAAATGACTCATGTACCTAAATCTAAAAGCAATTGAGGAGGCTGAGTCAAAGGACCAGTCTCAGCAACTTAGTGAGGCCCTAAGCAACTTGGCAAGACCCTGTCTCAAAATGGCTCAACAGTTAAGAGCCCCTGGGTTCAATTCCCAGTACCAAAAACAAACCAAAAAAAGTTTATATTTTTACAATGCCAATAGCCTTTCTTCAATAAAATATGTCACACTGCTAGGTGTGGTGATGGATGTTTGTGATCCCAACAGTTTGGGAGGCTGAAGCAGGAGGATCAAAAATTCAAGGCCAGCCCCAGCAATTTAGCAAGAACCTGTTTCAAATAAAAAAGTTTTAATAAGGCCGGGGATATGACTCAGTGGTTAAGCAAAAAAAGGTCTACTTTCCAGACTCATAAAATCTTCAGATTTTACATCATAGATTTTTTTAGAAAAAGTATAACTGCTTATTTTTAATTTTTATATAATACTTACCTGAAAACTCGTCCATAATTCCCATGTACTTTATATACACCATAGAGTCGATCTGCTACTCTCTGAAACCAATATTTAACAGAAATTGCTATCAGGTCAAAGTTATACACAGTTCACTTTAATAAAAAAAAAATCATCCTCAAAAAATCAAAAGCCCCCCCACAAAAAAACAACAAAAACTCTGTTTTGTATAATAAACTTGAAAAATAGAGAAAAAGAAACATATAATCTCAAAAAATCAATCATAAAAAACTCTAAAATAGAACTAGTGCTGCCCTACCATAATTATATTATGCCTCAGTAATTTATTTCTTTTTAATTTTTATTTTTTTGTTTCAGTTATAGATGGACCCAATACCTTTATTTTTTTTATTTTTATGTGGTGCTGAGGATTGAACCCAGTGCCTCATGTGTGCTAGGCAAGCGCTCTACCACTGAGCCACAACCCCAGCCCCTGCCTCAGTAATTCTTTATATTTGTATTGTATTGTATCTTTATATTTATATTGTGTAGTTTTTAATTGCTACCTTTAAATCTTCTATAGCAAGAGTGGTAATATTTTTATCTAGAAGGTTAACATTATTTTTAACAAATAACACTTGAAAGAGCTGCATAAAATTCCACTGAACAGTATATACAAACTTTCTTTTTTGGATAACCTTGTTGGGTATTTAGTTATCTGAATTTTTTTCAGAATTATAATGTTGTAATATGGGCTGGAGTAATGGTTCACTGGTAGAGCACTTGCCTGGCATGTGTGAGGCACAGGGTTGGAACCTCAGCGCCGCATCTAAATAAATAAAATAAAGGACCATTGACAACTAAAAATATTTTTTAAGATGTTGTAATAAGCATCTCTGAAAATAAGTGTTTTTCCTTTAGATTGTTTCCTTATGATAAAGTCCCCAAAGTGGAATCCTTAGGGAAACGAAATACATATGTTCAGTTCTATTGATCCACAGTTTTATACATAAATGCTGATATACTTCTATGAGGCTTTTGTCAAAAGATAACTTCCAACTGACAAACATATTAGATATTTTAATATCAACAGAATTACAATATAGATCACCAAGATGAAATGTACACTGCCTAGACAGTCACATAAATTTTACAAAAGACAAAACAAAATATCATGTGGTAAATGTTTCAGTTTATCATCTTCAAAAGTATTACACACATGAACTGGAAGACCAAATGGCAATCCTATATAAAATCCTAAAAAAAAAGTTTTGGTATATAGTTTCTTTTTTTTTTTTTTAATATTTATTTTTTGGTTTTCGGCGGACACAACATCTTCATTTGTATGTGGTGCTGAGGATCGAACCCGGGCCGCACGCATGCCAGGCGAGCGCACTACCACTTGAGCCACATCCCCAGCCCCTATAGTTTCTAAATGTAAGCTCAGAGGATTAAGTGAGCTACTTGACTCCTTATTCAAACACAAGTAGTTTCAGAATTTAGTTATTAACTGTACAGCAGATCTTAACCATTTCAAGACTTCAGCTTAAAGTGAAAGAAACACCATTGTAAAATATAGGTGTAGGTGTTAAGAGGATCATAAAAGGTTTTGCTTCTGTACTTGGCCTGCTTTGAAGGACATACACCCACAGAGAAGGGGTCAACATGCTACAAGTCCACTGCTTATTTTTGTAAATCAAGTATTACTGCAATAGTCATGCTCACTCATGTTAGCACATCTATGGCTGCTTTCACAGCACAGCTGAAGAGATGTGATAAGGTGAAATAGCCAAGAAAGCCATAAATATTTACCAGCCTGTCTGCAAAATAAGTTTGCTGATCCCTACACTAGACTCAGCTTTCATGACAAAGCTCATACTCCTCATTCTACATGAAACACTTCGACATTGTCCTCAGATCTCAAAACTGATCTCTCTGAGATATCACATCCCAGTTTATTTTTTGGGTACTCTATATTGTTAAATCTGACTCTCTCCCTTCCCTTCTTGAAGTGATTCCATCATAAAGTAAGTTTGGGAAACACTGAGGTAATAAAGTAAAACAGGTTCTTTGCCTATAGGACTTTTCAGATTTTTTAAATTTTAAGATATATTTATTTGTAGATGGACATAATACCTTTATTTAATTTATTTATTTAAAATTTTTGTTTTAATTGTTGATGAACCTTCATTTTATTTATTTATATGTGGTGCTGAGAATTAAACCCAGTGTCTCACATGTGCTAGGCAAGCACTCTACCACTGAGCTACAACCCCAGCCCAACTTTTTACATCTTTAACATCATATATGAATAATGACTATACAAGACAGAGATGATTTGCTGTAGGGAACATCTTACAGTACTAATACTCCAAAGAATAAATGATAGATAATGCAATTTTACACCACTAACTTTTCTACATCTTTGCACTTTCAGACATTGAAGTATCTTCCTAAAAGCTGACAGTCATTCTGTCATTTCAAGATATTAAACATGGAAGAGAAAGAACTTTATAAATAGGTACTTTTAAGCAACCTAAGTAAGTGCACAGTGCAGATCCACAATAATGTTCAAAGAAAAATTTTGTGAATCCCAGGTGTGAATGGTTGTTTCTTAAAGTAAATCACTCCTGGAGCTGATACAAAAGAAGGTTCTATCATGCAACTAGAGCTCTGTGTATACAGGTCCACAGGGTGTGACCCAAAGAGGAAAGTCTATCTACCTCAAAGATATGAGTGACCACTTATGTGGAAGCTACTCTACCCATGAACAAGGCAACAAACACTCTGCAGTTGTTATTGGACCAACAATGTTTCTGGTATGAATTCTTCAAAGATGGAAATAAATTGTTCTAGCCAACTAAAACATAAAGTGAATCTATAGATCATTAGGCATTAAGAAGATAAAACTAAGAAAAACTACAAACTTAAGACAAAAAAAATTATCAATTTTAGAGAAAAGGAAAGACAAAAATGTCCAAGAAGTAAAACATGAATGATTAAAACCTGAAACCGAACTGATTCAATGGTTGTTGATAATCAAAAAACTGGTGCTAGGGGAAATGATTTAATCCAGACTGCTCTTCAGATTAATTTTGTTGAAAAGTCTTTCTTTTAAAAAACTAATCATCAGAAAATTGTCAGGAGAGAAGTGACACATAGCAAATCCTGTGACAAAAGAAATATGACAGCTTCATCTGATTATCCTTCCTCAATTGGGAATACCTTCTTTGTCCTTCACTAAAGTTTAGTAGTAGGTGATTTAATATTCAAAAAGACAAAGCTTGGGGCTGGGATTGTGGCTAAGCGGTAGAACACTCCCCTAGCATGGGCGGGACCCGGGTTCGATTCTCAGCACCACATAAAAATAAAGACATTGTGTTGTATCCATCCACACTTAAAAAATAAATATTAAAAAAAAGACAAAGCTCTATGACATGTTAGTATATGATGTTACTTTAAAAATCTGAACACATATAGCTTTCTTCCCCCTTGATTCTCCTAAGAAGTTTAAGATTATGAAATTTATTTTTAAAAATTTATTTATTTATTTATTTATGCATTGCAATTCTTAATACACCTTTATACCACAATTTATCATATCTCTGATAAGGTATGTTGACCCAAAATTCGCATCTTCATATATGTATTTTGTATAATGATGAGAGTCTCCTTTCACCATCCATGCTATTCCCCTTCTCCCTCCTTTTCCCTCCCACCCCTATTCCTTATCTAGAGGTAATCTTCCTCACTTGCTCTCTCTCCCAAGATTATGAAATTTAAAGACTCCTGATACCTGCTGCCAAAACGGTTTCCAAAAGAGCTGTAACACTTTATATTTCCATCATCAGGAAGCATTTCAAAACATTAGATATTACCTTCTTTATAATTGGCTAAAAAGTAACATTAAATAGTATCTCAATGATTGTATCTTAAATTATGAAAATATTAGCAAAGTTAAACATCTCCCTCCCTTTTAAATTTGATTTCCCCTAAAGAGGTAGCACAGGGTAGCAAGAAATAAAAAACCTGGAGTCAGCCATATGCAAGTTCAACTTTGGAGAGTTTATTACAATACTCCAAGCCTCTGTATTTTATCTTCCTTTATGAGATGTGGAAATGACCTTCATCATTGACTTTATAAAGCTTAAATAATGTTTGTCAGGTTCTGGCAACAAGCAGATGACTCAATAGGTGTGAGTTCTCTTCTCTTATGCTACTTCAATTCACATCCTTGGTCAATATATTATTTGTCTAAATTCTGGTTCCATATGTATATTTACTGTGAGATATTGGGCAAGTTATTTAACTTCATTTGCCTCTTTCCTAATCTGTAAAATGGGAATAATAACAGTACTACCTTCCAAGGACTATTGGGAGAATTAAGTAAGGATATTATTATGCTTGAGTACCATGGCTTACGTACACAGTGATAAATGTTAGATATTGGTATTATTGTCCTTTTCTTTAGTTCATAAAGCACAGTTCTGACTTTTGCCTCCTAATTCTGTAAGGCATGTATTCAGGTAGCAAAAATTTAGTAGCTGCTATGCACCAGGCAGGTTTTATTCTCATTTTCCAGCAATGAGAACAAACTCTCAAAGGTTACTGGATTTGCCTACGGATACAGTAAATGGCAAAGACCAGTTTCAAATTCAGACCTTCTTAGTTCACGGTCAACTGACCTTTCTGGTTGTTCTATTTTGACTTCTTAAATATTTAACTCTGATCTATCTGTAACATATTTTTACCTGAGTTTCAAAAGATTTCTTGACCAAAAAAAGTAGTCAATAATTCTATTTTCTCTTCATCTATTACTAATTCATCTTCTATCTCATATACCATCAACACCTTCTTCTACACTTGACACTATGGCTCTTATGAAAAGGTCCTGGTGGTGCTTTCTGAATGGTGTGCAAGCTTCTGTCAGTGAAGGGCATTAATGTCCGTTTTTAACTTCATGTCATTTTTCTCTTATTGTCCATGTCTAAAAGTCCTTTCTCCAAATTTTGGAATACTGTGTTAAAACCTAAGCTATTTGGAAGGCATCATGTATTTTTCATTGATATTTCTCTCACTTATTAAAAAATCAAGTGCTGCCTTTCCTCTCAAGATCTCACACTGTCTTTCATGTCAATAGTTTCTGAAGCATGTTTTCTTAAAGTATAGGATAAATATATAAACCCAGAATTCTCTTACTTGCCTATTACAAACTCCTTGTGACAAAGTCACTTTGAAGGATCATATCACATATATATGACCAACCAGATCCTCTTGGTTAGTTAAAATTAAATATTTAAAAGCAACTTATTACTTTTTTTAGATCACATAAAATTGTCAGCCTACACATTTATATATTCATTCAGTATATTTTAAGTCTATGTGTCAGACAATATTCCAGGGATTTAGCAGTAAGAAAACAAAATATCGGCTCTTATGGAATTCAAATACATTAGTGGGGAAAATCATTAACGATCATTAAAGTAATACAATGTCAGACAGTGTTGCCACAAGGACAATAGCAATAATAGAATGACAAGGAAATGATACTCTAAATGTTTTAACATTTGATCAGCCAATATGAGGATCTTCGGAAAGATATTCTGCCTTTAGTTTATTTTTCTATACTATTACAGAAACCTTTAAACATACAGAAAGTACAGAGTACAAAAGGATATAACTCCATTTCTCATAGAGAACAAAAGAATTTTCCTCCACTTTCTAACACTCAGCTTCAACAATTATGATATATATGATCAATCTAGTTTCATCTAAAAGTGCCCCCAACTCTCCACTCGTGAATCATCAGTGGACTCTGGTAAAGTAAATCCCAGACAATACATTTCATCTGAAGGGGAGTATAATCAGCACAGGATGACATCCTAGATCTGGTAACCACCCAGTCTCTTTCAAAGCCACTGACAGAATGAAGTTCTAAGATACCCTCTAGGTTACCCTAAGGACAAGAATGGATGACATAACATTTTCCAGGCATTTTAAAATACTGAAAAGCATTCTTCCCCATGTCTACTATAACCAAACTATATGGCTAAATACAATGATTATTCCTTAATTTCTAGTTTCTTTGTCATGGCGAACTACTGTCCCAATAAATGTATTTAGTAGAATTTAAGAGCCCAGACACAGGATAGTCTAACATCCATAAACTATTATATATATAAACCATATATATACTAGCCCTGACCTTCAAGAGGGGGGAAAAATACCTGGAAGCATAATTATATTATTATATATACATCTAAAATTCTACACTTAATTATATTCAACATGCACTGAAATGACAGGCCTTTTGACAAGATGTCAAAACAACTATACTATTCGAGGGCTGAAATTCTTCAAGTTGTTAATGACAGAAAACATTTTGCATTTCTTTAAAAAATGCAGCTTGCATAATGAATATACTACATAGGAATGTAAAAATCAGTTATTCATCAGAAATACCACCTATAACTTAAAAGATGATGATTAAATGACAAGGATCTTCCTTATAAATGGAAAAAGCTCTAGGTCCACTTACAGCTCTGACTCGAAGAAGATGTGAGATGACCGACTGTAGTTCATCACTGTAGTGTTTCAGTTCAGTAAATCTCCTAAAACAGGAAATAAATAAAACATCATTCTTCTCATGAAAACAAGCAGTCTAAGGCTGAAATATAAAATGGCAGTTCCTAAGAATAATAAAACTGGTTCTATATAACCATATATATACTAGCCCTGAACACTTACATAATAATATAAATACAAAAACTCTACAGTTAAATAACACTTTCTTTTGACAGTTTGAAAGCCAAGAAAAGATGCCATACTTTAGAATTTACATCAAGGGGTTGAGATTAAATTCGTCAGTAGAAAAAATAACTTAAAAAAAAAAAAAGCAAAATATTTATGGTGATTAAAAAAAAAAAATCTTAAGACTTAACCATAGGGACTGGGGTTGTAGCTCAGTGGTAGAGCACTTGCCTGGCATGAGAGAGGCACTGGGTTCAATCCCCAGCACCACATAAAAAATAAATAAATAAAATAAAATAAAGGTATTGTGTCCGTCTACGACTAAAAAAAATTTGAAAAAAAGATAAGTAACCATAAATTGTGGTCTCTAATATCAAGCTTAAAATGCTTCTCAGTAACCCTTGTTTCCTTATTCTATTATCAGACATTCTCCATAAAGATCTGAAACTCTTTGATATACCACTTGTCACTTTCCAAACAACCAAGCTTCATAGATAAACTAGACATCATCAGATGGAACAGCTCCCACCTTCACCTCCTGCCAACTTTTTGAGAAAACTTTCTCAAATCTACATCAATTTTTCCTTTCATCTAGAATCTCTTCCTATCCTGCACTTGAGATTCTACTTCAGCTTGAAACAGGAAATGTTCCTATTTCCCAACTTCCTCTCTCTAGCACCGCTTTCTTCTCCTTAGCATGCCAATTAACTCAGATCTTCTTGGATTAAAATAAACACACACTCCTTGACCACACACCCAACTATTAACACCCTCTCAACATACACTGCTTTCTAGGTGAACTCTCAGCAAGCATCTCCCTAGCAATAACCACTACTTCCCTTCCCATTTACTTCTTGGTCTGTTAGAATATGGCTTTTCCGGGCTGGGGATGTGGCTCAAGCGGTAGCGCGCTCGCCTGGCATGTGTGCGGCCCAGGTTCGATCCTCAGCACCACATACAAACAAAGATGTTGTGTCCGCCGAAAACTAAAAAATAAATATAAAAAAAAAAAAACTCTCTCTCTCTGTCTCTCTCACTCTCTCTTTAAAAAAAAAAAAAAAGAATATGGCTTTTCCCTTTAAAACTATAATATTCTTCACAAAGTCAACATGTATTGTCATGTTGTCAAAATTCAATGAAGCATTTCAGTCCCCTCTTACTTGATTCTCTTGGTCATATAACAACTGATATTACCTTCATCTTGAAAATTTGTTCCCTTGACAGCATTGCCATTTCCTCATGATTTTCCTCTTACTCCTGAAGTTTTTACTGTAGTACTCACTCTCTTTCACCCCTCTCTAACATCTTCAACTTCAGTGTGTGAAGAATTTCTAAAATGTATCTAAATTTATGTTGAGGTATTTTAGTTGGAGTGAGTATTACAACTGTACACTCAGGACTTGCTCTCACTTAGAGATCTGAGTTTATAACAAACCACCACTGGATTCAGATGCTGGTGACCCCTTATTTTGGAAAACACCCTTATGGTGTTGGCATTCTTTAGGGTCAAGCGCTAGGTTCTTAGCCATCTTCCACTCAATCTTTCAATCTACATATTTTTTTACATGACTTGTAATTCACTATGATCAACATACTGTTATATTCCAATTTCTTTTTTTAAAAAAACTTTATTTATTAGTTTATCTTTTTATGTGGTGCTGAGGATCGAACCTAGTGCCTCACACATGCTAGGCAAGGGCTCTACCACTGAGCCACAACCCCAACCACTAAATTCTAATTTCTATCTCCAGTCCAAATCTGTCTTCTACACATCTATTAAGCCAATTGATTAGCAGACCTGTTTGTACCTGCTTATACTGCTTATATGTCCAAAGCTCAACCTATTTTTTCCTATATCCTCAACTCTCTTCTATGTTCTAAAAGAGTGAGACCTGGGTTTCTTTCCCTCTGCTTCACCCAGGTTTTTACTAATCACCCAGTCTGTTAATTATACCTCCTAAATACTGTTCAAATCCACTCATATTGCTCTATTTTTTCCTGCCAATAACCTAGATTCAAATTAGCATCATCACTTCTCATCTGGAATTCTCATACTATCCTCCTGATTGGGATCCTAGGCTTCTCATAAACCACTCTGCTTGGATGGTAGTCCTAGAGTCCAAACCTACATACTCCTCCGCCTTTTAGCAGGTTTCTTTCTGCTGCAAAGATCAGCCATGATCCTGAAACAAAGCCCAAACTCCTTAATGTGGCTTTTCACTAACCTTGTGCATACAGTTAACTGTGGTTCATCTAAAAAAAGAGGCAGCCAGCAAAGTTAAGGATATTAGACAACACACTTCCACCACTTTTAACTTCTCTCAAGGCAGTGTACTTCAGCTAAGAAAATAATCCAAGAATAAAAGAGCTAGCAAGTTTGGGATTACAGGCTTGCACTATGGCACCTAGCTACAGTCTCTCTGAAATAGCCAGCTAGCCAGAGAGGGAAGTAACAGCATCATCAAGGGATCATATTGCAAGAAAGTCAGGGTTAAAATGTTGGTGACAGGGATAAAAATGTTGGTGACAGGGATGAAATGTGCATCTTTGGAAAAATCTCTCATTGGGAAATCAGAAGACCTAAAGTGAAAACTGAAAAATCCACTGACTTTAGATAACACTGTGTATTTAAGAAATAAAGGAATGGGCCAGGCACAGCTGCTTGGGGAGGCTCAGACAAAAGGATCCAAAGTTCAAGGCCAGCTCAAGAACTTAGATTTTGTCTCAAAATAAAAGATGAGAAGGGCTGGAGATGTAGCTCAGTGGTAGAGTGACAGACACTGGCCCTAACTCCAATACTGCTAGAAGAAAAAAAGAAAAAGAAATGAATTTCACAGAAAAGAGAGTTTAAGTTCTTTGCCAAAGTCAAAATTTAGCAGTGTCTGCTAGACTCTTCTACCCTAAATGATTAGCTGTTCTCAGAGAAAAATTAAGGAGTAAAAAGCATATATAATAATGTCAAAATGCTGTAATTTCCTTGGAAAGGAAGGAGTTAACAAAGAGTCCAGACTGGGGAGATGATGATATAAAACTTCCCTCCCAAAACACTAAATGTCTAAAATCCCTACCTGTAAGGCATGTAAAAATCAACAAGTAAATGCAGATTCTAGTAAGACTGTAAGTTTGAGGTTGTCTACACTTAATGTATCTCAAAGCCTCAACTAACCTTAGTTTCTCTTCTCTTCAAAACAGTTCCACCACAACTATAGGCTCTATATTTCCCTTTATTCTCCAAAGTCTGCTTTTACTTGCTTGTAGTCATCTCCCCATCTAAGCCTGGACAGGTGTCTCAAACAAATCTCATTCATTACTCAAGATTCACCTTAGAAATAACCTCCATCAAGGCTTTTTCTGAACACCACTCTTCAATTTCAAAGTTAGATGGTATAAATACAGTGCGGAGTCTAACTTGTCTACTTCATATTGCTTTCATATTTTCATATGGCTTTCATTTTTTCCACCCTACTCTACTGAAAGTACATCAAACCATACAGATTTTCTTACACGTCTTTACAACTTATACCATCAACTATTACATAAATCCCCAAAGAAAATGAACTCAATGAATTCTGAAAGTCTGAGTGACTATGAAAAACAATAAATTTGTCAGTCTCCTCCCACTTTTCCAGTTTCTGCACTTCCAGGTCCTGCCTTGCTGCCTATCTGTGGGAGTTCCTAATATGGTACCTTGAACCCCTTGAAAACTCACTAGATAAATTTCTTCCTGTATCCATCCTTCTTGCTCTCAAACTCAGCATAGGAAAGTGATCTATTCTGACAGTTTGAAACTCAAGGAATAAACCAAGCAAATTTTAACCTTAATTATGTTACTGCATGGCCTGGCTTTTTTTCTTTTGTGGTGGTGCTGGGGATTGAACCCAAGGCCTTGTGCATGCTATTTAAGTTTTCTACCACTGAGCTACATCCCCATCCTTTGGCTTTCTTCTAAAAGAAGAAAACTAATTTTATAAATTATTTCATTGGGGTCATATGGATTTTCTTTTATTAATTTTTAGCCAAGAAAAACTGGCAACTAAAGCTATAGTCAATGAAATTTCTACTGGGCATGGTAGCACATGACATGAGAGGTTACACTGCTTCTACAATAAACAGTAGATTTTAAAAACTATGTAAGCTGGGAATGGTGTCACATGCCTGTAATTCTAGCAACTAGGCAGGCTGAGATAGGAGGATCACTAGTTTGTGGCCAGCCTTAGAGATTCTGTGAGGCCCTGAGCAACTTAGTGAGACCCTATCTCAAAATAATAAATGAATAAATAATTAAAGGATGAATGAATACATAAATGGGTTGGGGATGTGGCTTACTGGTTAAGCACTCCTGCCCTGGGTTCAATCCCTGGTACCTAAATAAATAAACTAATTAATTAAACCAAAAAAAAAAAAAAAAACCTATATAAATGACATGTTACTTCTTTCATCTGGTTTGTCTGTCATCTGGATTTTGTTTTAATGGGTTTAGGTTATTTTCAACACAATATAAGAAACTCTAGAAGTGGACATAAAAATAAAACTTGGCCAGGAGCAGTGGCACATGCCTGTAATTCCAGCAGCTTGGGAGGCTAAGGCAGGAGGATTTTAAGTTCAAAGCCGGCCTCAGCAATGTAGTCAGGCCCTGAACAACTTAGTAAGACACTGTCTCAAAAACTAAAACAGGCTGGGGATGTGGCTCAGTGTTAAGCACCACTTGGTTCAATCCCCAGTACCAAAAACAGAAAAAACAAAAACAAACAAAAAAACTTGGATGCACTTCTTTATGCAATTGATGCAATCCAAGACACTGAGCTCTTAAGTCCACATACAAGTAGAAGGCCCCAGGTTCTCCTTCTCACTTTTCCTAACAATCTTGTTTGCGGAAACACAAACATGCAGGAAACAAGTACTAAAGAATCATTTTGGAAATAACTCTGTGAAACAATCATTCTGGTGTTCTAGATTTTATGAAAGGATAGAATAAAACTGTTTTGAAGACATATACTCTTCTAACAATAGCACCAATGATAATCTACTGTGTCAACTAGACCTAGAAAAGATATCTATATATTAAGAATGGTTATAACAACTACTGGGGTTGTGGTTCAGTGTTGGAGTGATTGCCTAGCATCAGTGAGGCACTGGGTTCAACTGTCAGCACCATATTGAAAAATAAATAAACTAAAGTCATTATATCCAACTACAGCTAAAGATATTTTTTTTAAAAAAGAATGGTTATAACAATAACTGATGTAGACAATTCTCCTATCTAGGATTTGAGGCCAATAAATTTTATTACTAATACACTGATTTTACACTTTAACAATATAGGAGCAAAAACTGCCTTGATAATACTGGTCATATTACATTTAAAATTCTACGTACAAAAGAGTAAAATTTAGCAATTCAGGTAACCTCAAAAAGAGAGAAGGGCTGGGTGCAGTATAGCACGCCTATAATCCCAATGGCTCGGGAGGCTGAGGCTGGAGGATCATGAGTTCAAGGCCAGCCTCAGCAAAAAGTGAGGCTCTAAATAACTCAGTGTAGACCCTGTCTCTAAATAAAATACAAAAAATAGGGCTGGGAATGTGGCTCAGTGGTCGAGTGCCTCAGAATTCAATCCCTGAAACACCCCCCAAAAAAAGAGAGAGACAGAAGGGATTGGGGTTATGGCTCAGTGGTAGAGCACTTGCCTAGCACATGTGAAGCACTGGGTTCGATCCTCAGCACCTCATAAAAAATAAACCATTAAAGTTTAGAAAATACTAATCAAAATATTAATATTATACTAACAAACAAGAAATAATATCAGCTACATGATTTTCTAATGAATGTACATCCACCAAACGTAGCTTAAGTTTTCCAAAACTTTTTTTTTTGGGGGGGGGGGGGGTGATTTATAATTTTAGTTCTTCGTTAAGAGGATACTTCTTATATACCATGCAAGTATTAAAAACTTCAGGGAACATTAAATGCATATTATTAAATCAAATAGGTCAATTTCAAATATGACATAAACATGCTGAAAAACAAAAATTATGAAAACTGTAAAAAGATCAATGGAGGCTCATGCTAGAGAAATAAAAGGAAGAACAGGGGTTGCACAGAGAATTTTCAAGACAATAAAACTATTTTGTATGATACTATAGTAGTGTCATCCCAAACTCCTAAAATGTATAACAGCAAATATACAACAGCAAATGTGAATCTTCACGTAAATGATGACTTCCAGTAATAATGCTGTGTCAATGTAGATTCATTTACTGTAATAAACATAGTTCTCTGGTGAGGGGGAGGTGCTGAGGATGTGCTTTCTGCTCAATTTTGCTGTAAATCTAAAATTGTTCTAAAAAATAAAAGTTTTATTAATTATTATTTTATTTATTTATTTATTTTTGGTACTGGGGATTAAACGCAGAGGCACTTAATCACTGAGCCACATCCCCAGCCCTATTTTGTATTTTATTAGAGACAAGGTCTCACTGAGTTGCTCAGCACCTCACTAAGTTGCTGAGGCTGGCTTTGAACTCACAATCTTCCTGCCTCAGCCTCCACAGTCACTGGGATTACAGGTGTATGCAACAACACAAGTTTTATTTTTAAATAAAGCAAAATAAAACAAAAAAACCTTCAGTGGTTACCACAACTTCCTAGTTACTAAAACTTTAAAAATATTTTTTTTAGGGCAAGAATGTGTAACACTAGAATATGTGATGCCATGAGTTCAAACCACAGCACTGCAAAAAATAATAATAATATTCATTTATATTTTATATTCAAAATTCATATTAAAAACCAGAGGCATTACTGTTAATGTCATGGTTTATAAAGCTGCATGACATATCATCAAAAAATGCAAAAAGACTTTTGCATATTTTTGATAAGAATTTATACTACAGGGAAATTAAAGCTGAAGGACTCTAAAGAAATTCTAACAGACTTCATAAACTTGGTTGCTGTAAATGGAAAGGCCTCATCTGTCTAGGCGTTTCTAACTGAAAAGCTCCTATAACTGAACCAAACTGCCAGGTAAAGGACCATATAATGAAGATCTTGAAATACCCACAAAATTTAGAGAATGAGCCAAACCAAAACCAAATCTAGGTCTTATCCTAAGAAGTCATTTCTGAATACACTGATTTCCTTTAATGTAGGAATACACTTACAAACTGATATTAATAAAGTCAAGTATTTATCAAATGAAAATCTGCATAAAATTATGCTAAAATGCATTTATCTATCAAATTTTCTTGGCATACAGTAGGTATTTTATTTTTAAATATACAACATAATTTTTTAAGCTCTGCATATTTGACAAGCAAAGTCATACAAAGAAAAATTATGAAATTAAAATCACTTTCATCATTTTTTGATACCTTCAACATTTAATAAATCTTTCTAGGAAAAAAGCAGTGGTTTAATTTTTTTAAACTTCAGTTATTTATAAGCTTAAATCCAATTAAGATACCAAATTTCAAAATCAGTTTTAGACTTAAAAAGAAATTTGTGAAGTACCACTAAGAATATTTGGCAAATGAAGTGCATACATTCAGAAATGAAAAATTAAATAGACGGATAGGCACCATTCAAAACAACATTTAATTGTTATTAAAACAAAACCTTACTTGTCTGGGTTTTTCACTCTGAATGTTGCATTAAGCGCTTTTAACCTGGAGTCTGCCTGGAAAAAATAATTTGTTCACTTAATACAATTACATTTCAGGGTATAAAATTCAAACAGTTTTACTTTCCCTTTAGAATTAGATGCTAAATACAGTTTTCTTCATATTAAATGTTGTAAACACATTAAGCATACCTAAAACAACAGCTTGGTAGTTACTTTTGAGAACACTTCAGAAACATAATAAATTAGACTAAGTACATGGTATTCAGTGATTCCAAAGTAAAACAAATGTAAACAATATATTAGTAGGCATACAGCTCTATATGACTACAAATCAGAATAAGTCATGTGAAAAAAATCATTATAGCTTTACACTAAGCCAAGAAAAGAAATGATCTGCATATGTAAAGTAAATAAAACTACCAAGGGTAGTTCTCAGATGGAATACAAAGGAACCTTGGGACTTCACACTATAATCATCAGTATTTAAGGAAAAGAAATACCTGTAATTAAATTAATACTGTAAGACGTAAAACAAGCTAGCGGAAAATATTATAAGACAACATATCTAGCCTGGTGTGGGTGCACATGCCTTTAATCCCAGCCACTTTGGAGGCTGGGGCAGGTGACCACCAAGTTCAAAGTCAGCCTTAACAATTTAGGGACACTGTCTCAAAATAAATTTGAAAAGGCCCGAGGATGTAGCTCAGTGGTAAAGCACTCCTAGGTACAATCCCCATACCAAAAAACAGACAAAACATCTTTTTCACATCTTTATTTATTTCTAGATTAACTGCTCTCAAAGGAGACAGAGATAAACACTAAATAATAAGTTCATTGCATGAAATGAATTCTTTTTTAGGATTTTTAAAAATTTGTTCTAATTAGTTATACATGACAATATGAAATGTATCCTTAACATCTCCAAATCCTATCCTAAATTCTCACTTTTAAAAAAGAAAGGAAAAAGAAAGTCAAATACTTTTCTGTCCAAGATATAGAAACTACAGCATTCATCGTAAAAGATAGCTGTATTAGGAATCATTTTCAAATTATGGTTTGGTTTTGAAGACCTCAACAGTTTGATAATTTTGTTATTTCAACTTACAACTCACAACTACAAATACTCTCAATTAACAAAACAAATGAAGAAAGCAATTCAAAAATATTATTAGGGCTTCCCAGATTACTTGACTAAGAAAATAAAAACAAATGCAACAAATATGTCACTCAAAAACTCATCCTGCTGGAGCTCCAGACCCCCCCAAAATTCACAGCTACCTGAAGAATATAAAATATAACACCGAGCGCAATGGCACATTCCTATAATCCCAGAGGCTCAGGATGCTAAGGCTGGAGGATCACCAGTTAAAAGCCAGTCTCAGCAATAGTGAGGTGCTAAGCAACTCAATGAGAACCTGTCTCTAAATAAAATACAAAATAGGCCTGGGTCTGTGGTTGAGTCCCCTGAGTTCAAGCCCAACTACCCGCTGCCCCCCCGCAAAAAAGAATATAAATATTTGGTGTGATTCAGAATGATCTCATTTTCCCAGAAATAGAGCTTTCCCTTACCAATCCTTTTTGCATGCATTAATTACATAAAGAATAAGCAAAAAGAGAGGAAATAACAGGGACTGTAATTAAGAAGGTCTTTAAGTCAAATAAGCCTAAACTTGGATTTAGGTTTCATCACTTATAATCATGTGACACTAGGGAAGTCACCTTCTAGAGTTCCTCATCCAAAAAATGGGAATACTGAATAACTTCAAAGGTACTAAGGCAATACTGAGCAAAATAAAATACAGTATCAGCCTATATGCTTATAAAACCAGCATACATGCTTACTATGTGCTAAGTACTGTATTAAACACATAGTAAGTATATATGCTGATGATATTCAGGTAAAAACTTTCTGAAAAGTTTTTTTTTTTTTTTAACCATTTTAGATAGTTTTTCTAAAATTATTGGCTGAGGGTATAGCTCAGTGCCAGAGTACACACTTTGTATATTCAAGGACTCAGATTTGCTCCCTAGCACCAAAATATTTTAAAAATTACTCACAAAATAAAAGCATGTTCCTAAAAAGTCTTTTCAATCACCTTAGAGCAAGAGTTGCCAAGTTTTAGACCAACAAGAATCAGTATGTATGGGATAAAACTCAGGATTGACTATTTTGAACAAACAATCCCAACAACTGAGAAGCACACAGTGTATTAACAGTACAATTAACTGAATTAACAGTACAAAGCAAGCATAATTTCACTTTTTCTTGAGGCCTATAAACAACTACTAGCAAACCCATTTTTCATGCACTGAGACCCTGGAGGCTAAAATGATATGTGAAGATTTGGCCTCATGCCCAATGTACCTACACTGTGCATCTGACCCTCGTACACTTGTTACCTCCTTTTCTGGTATCAGACTCAGTTGTCATTGTCACTATTGTCACAATGTGCTCATCTTCACTATTACTTAACTTTAGTAAATTTTCTGCCAAAATATTTGTAGTCTGTAAAATAGCCCAATCTATCTGAACTATAATAAAATAAGTAAATTCTGAGAGAACCAAAGTATTTCTAAAAGCATGGAAGTAAGCTATGTTACACCCATTTGAATATTCAAAAAAGTCAGATTTGCTTAAATATTGGCTTCCAATTGTGATTAAATTGTCATCAAACACATGATCTCCAGATAAGGAAAACATGACTTTACATCTATATATACACATACACCTACGTATGTACAGGGAGAACCTCATTTGTATGAATGCATGTACATATTCATGTATGTGAGGTTGCCCCTAAAGAGCCCATGTCCTTGATGGAAGAAGAAAAAACGTCAGAAATGTCCATAACAAAATAAGGAATAGAAGACGACAGGTGGGTTTCTGAATTCTCTCCATAAAGGTTATTTCTAGTCTTTACTTCATTGAAAGACTGACTTTATGAATTATTAATACTATATATTAAGCACTACCTTTCAAATACTTTAAACCCAAAGGTCTAAACCATACCCAAGCTTTAAACCACAGGTTACCCAAATAGAAAACATTATATCAAAATATTTAAACAGCAAGCACACATAAGATTCATGGCACGCTATGTAAATAGTACAGTCTATAATAATAGAGAAATTCAGGTATTTTTCCAAGGTCTCCAAAGTTACAACCAAACACTGGGTTCAAGGACAAACCACAGATAATTAAGAGACTAAACTGGTGACAAATCAATGACTAAATTTTAAAATTTTGTATTATATAAAGGCAATTCATCAAAACAACTGTATTTTAGGTTTTTTACACTTTTTATTAGTTTCTAACATATCTTGGATTATTTTTCAGAAGACACTATTAAATTAAAGAATGATTTTCTAAGTTTCAAGTTATTTCAAGTCCTTGCCTAAACTAAATTCCATCACTCCCTCTGAGCATTATAAAGTAATGAGTTTCAATCAAGAAAACTGTAATTTTTTAATGTATAACTGCCAACAAAATACTTATAAATTAAAATCTAATCATGCAAAATTAGAAACTTGATTACATTTTCTCTATATGAAAATAATTTTCTAGTTAATTTTGTGCTATTCAACTACCTGTATACCAATGCATAAAGATCTGGGTGGTATTTTTTTAAATGAATGAATATATTTTGTTCTTCTTATGGGATATACTATAATGACTTTTGGTACTACATTATCCTGTGAATAATTTATCAATTTATATGCTATATACAGGTTGAGTATCTTTTTCTGTTTTTTTTTTTTTTTGCAAGCAGTAGAATTTTATTTAAAAATTTATAACATAAAGCCAGGTATGGTGGTGCATGCCTGTAATCCCAGAGGCTCAGGAAGCTGAGACAGGAGGATCACAAGTTTAAGGCCAGCCTCAGCAACTTAGCAAGGTCCTAAGCAACTAAGCAAAACCTGTCTCAAAACATAAACAGGGATGGGGAGGTGGCTCAGTAGTTAAGCACCCCTGGGTTCAATCCCTGGTACAAAAAAAAAAAAAAAATTATAACATAGAATATTGCTTCCATAAAATGTAAAGAAACTTATACAGAATTCGTTGTCAACATTTATACAGTGTCACTTCAATTATATAAAAACCATGGAATGCTTCATGAATTAATATATCATCCTTAGGCAGGGGCCATGCTAATCTTCTCTGTATTATTTCAATTTTAGCATGTATGCTGCCAAAATGAGCATCGGGTTGAATATCTCTTATCTGAAATGCTTGGGACCAAAAGTCTAGATTTTGGAGTTTTTTGAGATGTTGGAATATTTTTCATAGACTACTGGTTGAACATCCCTCATCTCAAAATACAAACTAGCCAAGTGTGGTGACTCTCGCCTATAATCCCAGTGGCTTGGGAGGCTGAGGCAGGAGGATTGTGATTCAAAGCCAGCCTCAGCAAAAGCGAGGCACTAAGCAACTCAGTGAGACCCTGTCTCTAAATAAAAATACAAAAGAGGGCTAGGGAGTGGCTCAGTGGTTGAGTGCCCCTGGGTTAAATCCCCAGTACCAAAAAAAATTAATAATAATAATCCAAACTATTCCTAAATCCAAAACATATTGAGTGGGCATCAGTCAAATGGATTTTTTTTTTAAAGAATTTTTTTTTTTAATATTTATTTTTTAGTTTTCGGCGGACACAGCATCTTTGTTTGTATGTAGTGCTGAGGATCGAACCCGGGCCGCACGCATGCCAGGCTAGCGTGCTACCGCTTGAGATACATCCCCAGCCCCTCAAATGGATTTTGAAGCATTTCAGATTTCAGACTACTTTGAATTTCAGATTTTCAGATTACGAATGTGCAATCTGAATTATGTAAATTTATATTATATATCTACTTACCTTAGTAGGTTACAAGAGACAGACTTTTAAAAGCTTTTAACTTACAATAGATTTCTTTGGGGAAAGATTTGGAGAGCAGAGTAGATTAGGGTAGCCATCTCACCACAATACTCCTCAATTTTCAGATAACAATCTCATTTCAAAACATTAATTCTAATGATTAAACTTGAAAAAAACTGTATGAAAACTAAATATGCATTTATCACTTAAGAGATGCTCTTTCAAAATGATACCTATATCGGTTTCAAACTGGCCACCATGTCCCAACTGACAGAAGCAGCATGACCAAAAACTCATCTTTTAGTTTACTCATGTGGAAAAATCCAAGCTAGACTCTTGAGAAGTACCATTCACTGGTAATAGTGATCAATTGTCGGAGGCAGGGGTGCATGTGGAAATGGTCAGGAAAGAGGAAAGAAAAAGATGTAAAAGTATGTTTATACTGTGGGGGAAAAATTTTATAGCCTGTATTTCGATTACTGCTTCAAAATGTTCTTATCTAATAAAATTAAATTAATAAATTTGACCATTATAGTCCAACTAGTAACAAAAATTACATAAATCAAAAGTGAATTGTGGTGTTTTTTTTGAAAAGCTTATCAATGATATTAGATGCAAAGATGATTTCTGACATTTATTCATTCAAAAAATTAACCCAGTACCCATTAAGAGTATAGCATTGTGCTAGAAACTGTAAAGAAATACGGCAAATTACTTCATACAAATATACTTACTTTCAGCTGAAACCCAGTTTCATTCACAGTTTCCTTCCAGTTACCTTCCTAAAAATTAAAGTTAATTTTAGAAACCATTACTGCAAAGCAAAACAATACATAAAAAAAAAAATCCAAAATACTTCAGTATTATTTTGTTCTTATTTCAAGGGAAATGGTAGAGAAAAGTTTACAAAAACTCTTTCATTATAAAATTAAACATAAGGGACTGGAGTTGTAGCTCAATGGTAGAGCGCTTGCCTAGCATGTGTCAGGCACTGGGTTCGATCCACAGTACCACATAAAACTAAATAAATAAAATAAAGGTATTGTGTCCATCTACAACTAAAACAAAATTTTTTAATTAAACATATAGTTCAGATTTCAAAAGATAAAACAGAATTTGGACCCAAGATTTTAGAGATTAGGGCTTCAAAAACTGATGACTAATTTTGATATCATTTAAGTGATACCAAAAGTATATCTTCAATTAAGTATAAAAATGCTAACCAAGCTGGGCATAGTGGCACACGCCTATAATCCCAGCGGCTGGGGAGGCTGAGAGAGGAGAATCTCGAGTTCAAAGCCAGCCTCAGCAATCACAAGACACTAAGCAACTCAGTGAGACCCTGTCACTAAATAAAATACAAAAATAGGGCTGGGATGTGGCTCAGTGATTGAGTATCCGTGAGTTCATTCCCTGGTGCAAAAAAAAAAAAAAAAAGCTAACCAAAAAAATACTGCAATTGAATAATAAACAATTCAATAAATCCAAACCCAACCCAATAAATTGCACATAAAAAACCTGCTCCAAAAACATCCTTAAAAATAAGCATTATAACCATATACTTTGTATACAACCAGAGATATGAAAAATTGTGCTCTTTATGTGTAATATGAATTGTAATGCATTCTGTTGTCATTTATTTCTAAAAATCAAATAAAAATTGGGGAAAAAATAAGCATTATAATCAAGTGTGGTGTCTCAAACCTTTTTTTTCCCAGTGATTCTGAAGGCTGAGAGAGGACTGCGTTTGAATTTAGCCTCAGCAAATTTATTGAGACCCCAAGCAACTTAGGAAAATTCTGTTTCAAAATAAACAATAACAAGAGCTGGCTCACGCCTATAATCCTAGTGGCTTAGGCTGCTGAGGCAGGATTGCAGGTTCGAAGCCAGCCTCAGGAACTTACTAAGGCTCTAAACAACTTAGTAAGACCTTGCTTCAAAATAAAAAATAAAAAGGGCTGGCGATGTGGCTCAGTGGTTATGTATCCTTGTGTTTAATACCTCATACCCAAATAAAAAAAAGAGCTGGGGTGTGCCTCAGTGATCAGGCACCCCTGGGTTCCATCCCCAGTACAAATAAATAAATGAATAAATAAGCATTCTAGGTGGTGCACACCTGTAATCTCAGCAACTCGAAAGGCTAACGTGCAGGGGTGTGTGTGTGTGTGTGTGTGTGTGTGTTCAAGATAGTGGAATAAGAAGGGGTCATGTTCCTGGCTGCTCCATAGTGAAACCAAGAAAGCAAACAGGCAGCTTCCCAGCAAAGTGGGTGAACAACAACAACAAAAAGCAGGGGGACTTTACTGGAATTTAAAACTAGACATTCAAAGCAGACTGGGGACACAGGAAGTTGGATATAATAAAATAAGGAAGAAATCCCTAGAGGCATAGTCACTGCAGCAACTGAGCCAAAAGCACCAGCCACAGTTGTGGAGGGATAAGGAAATTAAAGGAACCCGCATTTTGGGGAGGCTTGAGGCATGTACAGAGCATTTAGAGATCAAGAGCACTGCCCAGCAAACCTGAAAGATGTGCCACACAATATCTGTGAGCGGAGAAAGAAGCCACCATCTTTCCAGAAGGAGTGTAGAAGACAAAGGAAGCCACTGCGGGGCTCACACCTGAGAGGGCCCATTCTTGGCAAAACGGAGTTTGGCCCAAAATACAGGCCTGGTAAACATACACTTCACAAAATAGAGTGTGCTTAAGTGACCAAGAGAAAAATCAAACGTGGAGAGAGTTTGACAAAGTGGACAACTGGTTGTGAAAACCTACTTGGCTCTATCCCTCCTTCTCCAATCTGACTGTTCACAGGACCTGCTGAGACAGATGCATCTGGCTGGGAACTTGGAAGGGCAGAGGCAGGAGAGATTCTCTTCTCTGGAGACTGAACTTGAGAGGAAATGTGGGGTCCGCAGGTGATGTAGGGGACTAAAAATTGGGTCCCCCAAAACACAAGTAGAATCCAGGGGAGATCCCTAGGGTACAGTGTTCGAGCGTGGACCTGCAAGTGCTGGGTGCTGGAGGTGCTGATTTAAAATCTCCAGAACAACTGGCAATCAGCAAAGAGCCTGGAACCCACCTAAACCTAAACCCTGCCTCCAGGAACTCCACCTACTGGATTACATCTCTCATTCTAGCAATAAAGAGGGTGGAGCATCAGCTCCAGATTATCCCACCTAAAACTGCTGACAAGAGAAGCTGAAAATCTTGAACTCCAATGGAAAGAATTTTTTAAATTTTCATCAAGATCTTTTTTTTTTTTTTTAATTCTTTTTCTGTTTAATTGTGACCTTAATGGTACATGGACATTTATACATATTCATATTTGGCTTTTTTTCCCCTCACTTCTAGCATTTTTGAAGCCAGCAATTTTTCATGGATTGGTTTTTTGTGAACCAGGACATTTGATTAGTATATTTTAGTTTTGTTTTATATTATTTTTATTTTCAATTTTTAAAAAAACATTTTACTTTATGTTTTTTTCTCCTGTTTCCCTTGATTCTCTTTTCCTCTGTTATCAGCCAATATCTATTGTTCTCCTTCACTCTTCCTTTAATTTTTTACTTCTTCTTCTCTCTTCCTCATAATCATCACATCCTATATCACTTCTGTCCTTTTCCCTGTTCACCATTTGAAATTATAAACCCTTTTGCAAATTCGCTGTTTTTATGGTAGGCAATAGCTGTTCATCATTTCTGTTTATTGTGATAATTAACATTGTAGATGTCATAGCAGGAATTATTTGGTTTAATGCTGTATATTGTTTGCATTGGTTGTTGTTATCATTTGTCTCCCCCTAAATGGTGAGGTACTGGAAACCTTTAGGGACATTATAAGTCCACAGGGTAGAAACTCTACTGCCTCAGATCCATACTGTTAAAGGGTAGACACACAAAAAACATTAAAAAGCAAGGGAACAAATCACCCCAAACAAGCCAAAATACTCCAGAACAGAATCCATTGACACACAGTGGAAGAAATGTCAGAGAGAGATTAGAATGTACATAGTTAAATTGATCTGCAAAGTAAAGGGCAGAATAAAAAATGAAACCAGAAAGAAACTACAGGAAGTGAAAGATCACTTCAATAAAGAAGCAGAGATGGGGGGCTGGGGATGTGGCTCAAGCGGTAGCGCGCTAGCCTGGCATGCGTGCGGCCCGGGTTCGATCCTCAGCACCACATACAAACAAAGATGTTGTGTCCGCCGAAAAACTAAAAAATAAATATTAAAATTCTCTCTCTCTCTCTCTCTCTAAAAAAAAAAGAAGCAGCAGAGATGGGGTGGGGGATGGGGGCTGAAATCCTTGAAATGAAGGAAACAATAGATCAAATTAAAAATTCAATAGAAAGCATTATAAACAGACTAGACCACTTGGAAGACAGAACCTCAGGCAATGAAGACAAAACATAAAATCTTGAAAACAGAGTTGACCATGGAGAGATAGATGTTAAGAAATCATGAATAGAACTTTCAAGAACTATAGGATAACATCAAAAGACCAAATTTGAGATTTATTGAGATAGATGAAGATGTGGAGATATAAACCAAAGGAATGCACAAATCTTTTCAATGAAAAAATATCAGAAAAATTTCCCAAACCTAAAGAATGAATAGAAAATCAAATACAAGAGGCTTACAGGACCCAAACCAAGCCATGTTATAATAAAAATGCCTAGCATACAGAATAAGGATAGAATTTTAAAGGCTACAAGAGAAAAATATCAGAATACATATAGGGGGAAACCAATTCAGATCTCAGCTGATTTCACAACCCAGACCCTCAAAGCTATGAGGTCCTTAGTATAACATATGCCAAGCTCTGAAAGAAAATGAATGCCAACCAAGAATCCTATATCCAGCAAAATTAAGCTTCAGATTTGAAGATGAAATAAAAATCTTCTATGATAAACTAAAGAATTTGCAACAGAAAGCCTACACTACAGAATATTTTCAACAAAATATTCCATGAAGATGAAATGAAAAAAAAAAAGTGAAACTGGCAAAGTGAGGAGCTACACTAAAGGAATAGTTAATCAAAGGAGAAACTAATTCAAATTAAAAACTAGTAATGAACCCAAATGACCAGGAATATAAATCATATCTCAATAATAACCTTGAACATTAATGGCCTAAAGTCATTAATCAAAAGAAACAGACTGGCAGACTGGATTAAAAAACAAGACCTAACAACATGCTATCTCCAAAAGACTCATCTCATAGGCAAACACATCCACAGACCAAAGGTGAAAGGATGGGGGAAAACATATCACTCACATGGATCGTGTAAATCAGCAGGGATTTCTATCCTCAAATCAGATAAAGTAGACTTCAAGCCAAAGTTAATCAGAAGGGACAAAGAAGGCCATTTCATGCTGCGTGAGGGAATTATAGATCAATAATACATAACAACCATACATATTTATGCCCCAAACAATAGAGCATCTACATATATCAAACCCTTCTCAATTTCAAGAATCAAACAGACCACAGCACAATAATACTGGGTAACTTTAGCATGCCTCTATCACCACTGGATAGATCCTGCAATAACTACATAAAGCTATAGAAGTAAAAAATACATTGACCCAGCAGCTCAGGAAGCTAAGACAGGAGGATCAAGAGTTCAAAGCTAGACTTAACAACAGCAAGGCGCTAAGCAACTCAGTGAGACCCTGTCTCTAAATAAAATACAAAATGGGGCTGGGGATGTGGCTCAGTGGCCAAGTGTCCCTGAATTCAATCCCTGGTATCAAAACAAACAAACAAACCATTTGATAATTTAGACTTAACAGATATATATAGAATATTTCATCCATTAATGACTGAATACATATTCTTCTCAGTAGCACACAGATCCTTCTCTAATATAGAGCACGTTATGTAAGCTATCACATAAGTTGGCATACAATTGTAATATTACCTTAGTATATTTTCAGCATCTGTAGCGTTATTTTGATAGCTCCCTCTCCATTGATGTTAATTTTTGTGTTCTTGCTTTTTCTTGATTATACTCATTTATGTTTTATCAACTTTTAGCTGTATTATTTCTTCTCTATTTCATATATTTCTGCTCCTACTCTTATTTTTTCTTTCCTATTACATAATTTGAAAATAATTTGTTATTCTATTCTTTCTAATACAAATACTTTAAGTTATAAATGTTCATCTGAGTACTGTTCCATCCCAGAGATCCTGATATTTTAAGCTTTGATTATCACTTAGTTCAAAGCACTTTTTAATTACTTTTCTTGTGCTTTCTTCCTTGACCTCTGAGATAAGCATGCCATTTAATTTTGAAATAGTTGACATGTGGGGTGAGGTGTATATCTATATATCTTAAGGTTTAATAAATCATTCAAGAAATACAGTTTGCATGATTTCAAATTAAAAACAACTTGTAGAAATGCTTTCTATATTGATTGTACTGGTTGCATACATGTCAAAATTGATCAATTGCATACTTAAAATATGTACATTTTATTGTACTTTAATTTTATCTCAATAAAGCTATAGGGAAAAAAAAGAGAGGCTAAGGAGAATTACAAGTTTGAGGTCAGCCTCAGCACTTAGCAAGACCCTAAGCAACACAGGGAGACCCCGTATCAAAATAAAAAATAAAAAAAGGCCTGAAGGTATAGCTCAGTGGTGAAATGTCCCTGGGTTCAATTTCTGTACCAAAATAAAAGCATTCTACAGTTTAGCTGGCTGAGTTGGTGCATGCCTGTAAGCCCAGCTATTTGGGAGGCTGGGGAAAGATGATCACAAGTTCAAGGCCAGCTCCTGTAATTCATTGAGACTCTGATTCAAAACATGTTTTTATTAAAAAGGTCTGGGGATGAAGCTCATTGATAGTGTTCTCACCTATCATGTGCAAAGCCCTGGGTTCAATCCCTAGAACCACCAAAAAAGAAAAAAGAAATAAACATTCTACATGTTTTAAATAGGTGCATTATAATTTTACATATTAGTGGAATTTGTCATTAAAAAAAACATAAGTCAAATGAACATTTTAAAAAGATACCTGTGTTAAAAACAAATAGAAGATTTTGTCTCTACAAAGGATAGGATGTGAAGCAACTCTTAAGAGAAAGTTTTCTAAACCAATCCGTCGTCTTTCCACAAAATCCGGATCCATGTTGTCAGCAGAGAGTTTATGCCAAACAAATTCTGCCTAGGTAAATAAAACAATCATTAAGAAGAGTCTCAATGTATAGTACTTTTAACTACTGCCATCTTGCTTCTTACCCGTTTTTCTGGTAGAGGTGGCACAACAATATGTGGATAGTAAACTAAAAGGTAGTTTCTCAACAACTCAAACTCACTATATCTCCTCCACAGTGAGTCTGTTAGGACACTCTGACCATCAGCATGTTCAACTGACCTGAAAGGAATCAAAAAACATTTTTATTACTTTATAAAAATACATACACATAATCAAAACATCCTCTAAAAAGTATACCTCTAAGTACTATTTGCTTCTATTTCCTAACTGCTTTTCAACCAGGCATTGAGGAAAGAACTTTCATGTATTTTTTCACTAATTTATTCAACCTGGTGAAACAGGGATTTACTATCCTCATTCTACAGATGAGGAAGCAGCTGCACATATGTGCCCTGCTTATAATCACAAGGATCTGTGGGTAGAGCACTCAGATCCACCTGATACCAAGCCCTTACTCCTAAGCACTTTGTTTCCTGTTATAGAAAAATGATTTGAACCTAATAATTGTATTAGGAATATTCTGAAAGCCTCAATCTATCTCATAATTGGTTTTACAGTATGATAAAAGTCAGGCTCAGCTAGCTAGTCTATTAAGAAGAAAGTAATTTTAACTTCACTATTGTCCAATGAGATGACAACATTCACAACAAAGACCAAGACCCACAAAACCTCAATTCAGGTTATAAATGAATTAAATGAATCTGAGTATCAAGAGATATGCACAAGAGTAAAATATTAATTAGTTGTGAAAGTGTGCGGAAGAGAAGTTATAAAAATTCATCAATACTCATCTTCAATTATAATTATAAAGAGCTGGCAGAAAATGCCATGTGTCATCTATATACAGTTCAACTTATATTTGGGAGAAAGGGTAAAATCATATAAAGGACATTTTAAAGTATTTTGACTATTGAAAAGTCTCCCAATGCAAGCACTGTTATAAACCATCAATCTTTTAAACCTTCTTATTTTCTTTTTTTTTAAAATTTTTTTGAAAAATTCCTATTACAGAACTAAACTGAAATTATTAATAGTTCACTCTTACATTTCCACGACAAACAGAAAAATTCATGAGCCAAAAAAAAAGGGAGCTTATAAAACTAAATATAGATCTCAGCATTAACAGCTGAACAGAAAAAGGAATTAAAAGGCTTTAATTAAAAAATCATGAGTGGAAGATAAAGTGTGTAGAAACTGAAAATTTACAAACTATTTAAAACCTGGAATCGCTGACTGTTCGGAAACTATGCAGATGGATTATGGGTGTTGGTGAACAGCAGAAAGGGATTATGGATGAATCTGCATTGTTCTAGCTGCTTCCCATGCCACCCGTCTCCGAGGAAAGCCTGACTTTGATTAAATACTGAGCCAGGTTAATGCTGGCAGCAGATCCAGTGACAGTAACCTGTCTATCAGTGGATCCTTCCACTGGGTTCACAATTTTGATCTGTGCCAGACATCTGACGGATCTCATTGATTTTGGTGCCTTGACGCCAGATTATGCAGCCAATCAAGTCGTTTGGAATGGTGAGTTCATGAGAAGTAGTCTGAGCAGATGAATCCAAACCTGCACTGAATCCAGTATTACCATGCGTCATAGGAAAATGAGACTGTTGCATTGCCAACTGGTGCAGCTTGGTCAAACCTGGCTGTGGAATGGCATATTGTCCTTGAATGGTATAGGACTCTATAGAGGTGGTTGAGGAACATGGGCAGGGTGGTGTGAAGAAAGCTCGTACTGTCGCTGCCTGTGCTGTACCTGTCCTGACCTCCTACAAAGATGACTGGAGAACTTGATGGCTTGGGCAGGTATGGGATGGTCACACCCTTCGGGGTAGGGACTCCAAAATGACCGCACAGATCTGTTTGATACACTCAATGATGGATTGCAGAATGCCAGCAATAGTGATGGCCCACTCAGTTGAATTGGGGAGCATATCCCCTGCCACCTGGATTTGAACCCCTGTACTCTCTCATATTTCCTTAATCTTGCAGCCACCATTACCAATAAGAGAGCCACACTAGCAGGGACCACCAGCCTCAGAATGACCAGGTCTACTGGCAACTACTGGTCATAGAGCTGCTAATGTCCTCTTCCAGTTTGTCAATGATCATTGCAAAGGCTTTGAAGATGGCATTAGCAGGTCCAGCCAAAGTGATAATTCTCTTGGGGACAATTCCCTTCTAAGAGATTGATGCATGTACCACTCTCCTCGAGCATCTTCTCAACTGATTCTCCTTTCTTTCCGATGATACTGCCAACTTCCTTTCCATGTATAAGTAGGCAAATGGTGGTGACATTTAATCCACTTTCAATAACACCGGTGTCCATGTCGAGCAGTGTTATGGGGAGCTGGACTTCGAGTGGTCAAGTCTTTGGTCACTGGTCTGGGTGAAAGCCAAAAACTGGTGGGCCGGGTGTAGGAGGAAGAGGAGGAAAGAGGAAATGGGGGGCGGCAGTGGCAGAGGGCACAGGCTGCAGCTGCTCTGGCTGCTGCTTCTGCTGATCTGGGAAGACCTTCTCATTTTCTAAGTATTTGCTTGACAATAATTTATTTGTCCTCCAAGAAATACACATATGCCACAATGTGCATAAAGACCCTGAGGCTACATCAGTTTCAGAAATAAGTAAAATTTGAAAACATATTTATCTCACTCTATGCTCAGAAAAATAGTTATTAAGTTTTTGGTTTTGTCTTTTTGAGACAGGGTCTTGCTATGTTGCCCAGGAGGACCTCGAATTCCTGGACCCAAAGCAATCTTCCTGCCTCAGCCTCCTGAATAGCTGGGACTACAGGTATGTACCACCACATCTGGCAATAGTTGCTTGCTTTTATTATTTATATATTAAGTTAACCACTAAATCTATTTAATTATGCATTAATAAAAAGGAAACAAAATATGAAATACAAAAGTGTACAAATGGCTTCTGTGGAAAAATATGGAACTATTAAAGCAAAACTCATCTTAAAGAGTTGACCTAAGCATTAGCTATAACAAACAACCATTCCAATCCAGGAAGCCAGGTAGGGTGGCACAGGCCTATAATTCCAGTGAATTTAGGAGATTAAAGCAGAGGGATCACAAGGTCAATGCCAGCCTGAGAAACTTAGTGAGACCTGCCTCAAAACAATTAAAAAAGGCCTGGGATATACAGCTCAGAGGTAGAGTGCTTGCCCAGCTTAAAGAAGGCCACAGGTCATCCCCAGCACACACACACACACAAAAACACATCAGAAACAAACAAAAAACCCCCACAAAACACAAGATAAAACAACAAAAATTTAATACAAACAGATTTCTAACCCTAGCTGAAGAAATATTTGGGTTAATCTCAAGTTTCAAACTAGCTACCAACAAAACCTACATCTTACACTGGGCACAATGGTGCATGTCTGTAATCCCAGGGATTCCAGAAGCTAAGGCAGGAGGACTGCAAGTTCCAGGCCAGTCTCAAAAATATAGTAAGGCCCTAAGCAACTTAGTGAGACCCTGTCTCAAAAATAAAACTAAGCCAGGCACGGGGCACATCTGTAATTCCAGCAGCTTGGGAGGCTGAGACAGAAGGATCACAAGTTTAAAGCCAGCCTCAGCAAAAAGTAGGGCACTACGCAACCCAGTGAGACCCTGTCTGTAAATAAAATACAAAATCGGGCTGGGGATGTGGCTCAGTGAATGGTCAAGTACCCTCTGAGTTCAATCCCTGGCACCCCCTCCCCCCAAAAAAGCTGGGGATATAACTCAATGGGAAATCATTCCTGGGTTCAATATCTTGCTAATAAATAAAGCCTATAACCAGCACACCTACAAGGTAGGTAGAAAACCTGCATAACAAAAAAGAAAAAAAAAAGGAGCCAAGTGTGTTGTATGTCTGTGATCCCAGCAACTTGGGAGGCTTAGGAGGATTGCAAGTCTAAGACCAGCCTTGGCAACTTAGTGAGACCCTAATAAGAGCTTAGCGAGACCCTGTCTCAAAAAATAAAAATTTTTTAAAAAGGGGTGGGGTTGGGGATATGGCTCAGTTGTTAAGTGACCCTGGGTTCAATCCCCAGTACCTCCCCCAATAATGGTCATTTAAAGCAGGATCTATTCAGTGCAAAATGCCAAAACATAGGTAGGACTTCAGTGGACCCCCCAAACTACCCCATTTATCCAATCATGGAATGATTATTCAATAATACCTATACTATCTGTACATCTCCTATACCATCAAGGCCTTAGGTTCAATCCTTAGAACCAAACAAAACAAAACAAAACAAAAAAATCTTCCTACAAACAGGAACACACACAAAAACTTCAAAGGGAATTAAAAACCAGTGACTTTATCCTTACTCAATCTTATTCCACCAAACTTTAAACTAAAGCTACCAGAAAAAAAGCTTCCTATCTAAACTTAAGTCTAATTCTTATCACCAACCTTGTTTCAATGAGGTAAGCTGTATATGTTTCTTGCATGTTCATGGCATTTCTTCCAGTTCGCTTTTCAGCCTCTGAAACACTGATTTCTATCTTCTTTAATCCAAAATTATTTTCTGTCATCTGGACAAAATGCAACAACAAAAAAACTTTAAGATGTTATTGAAAAGCCCACAGCTAATTTAATAAAACTCATCATTGGGGGCTGGGGATACAGCTCAGTTGGTCGAGTGCTCGCCTGGCATGCGCAAGGCCCTGGGTTCAATCCCCAGCACCACAAAACAAACAAACAAACAAAAACAAAAAATCATTGGTACATATTTCTAGATAATTTGTTATATTCCTTAAGTTGTTAGGGATTGCTAAATGACAGCATCAAATGACAAGTACTTTTTATCAACATATCATAATACATTAACTTTTTCAGAGGTATCTAAATGGGTACCATACATTTATTAAAATTCAGACATTTCCTTTAAGTGGCCAAAAATAAGTCTATATACAAAAGTATAAGAAAACATCTTAAAGACACATATACAGAAGATTCTAGGAAGATAGTAGAACTGGAAGCACCAGGAATCTATCTTCCCATCTAGACAACAAATACACTGGAAGACTGTGATATAAATATTTGGGAACTCTGGAGTCTGAAGAAAGCTTACAACTTCCAGAGGAAGGCTTGGATAACAAAGTATAGTTAATTAAGATCAATTTCAGGTCTGTGCACATTGGTAGTGACCCAATCCACACCCTAGCCCTGTGGAAGACAGCTGTGCAGTGTTACCTAGAGTGGCTTGCATACAGCTTACAGGAATCAAGGTGGGCAAAAACACATCATGTCCTCTACTGTTGGTTGCCTCTTCTAATTAGACAGACACAAAAAAGTGGTGGCCACTGTTATTGAACATTCTCATACTGTTACAAGCCTCCCTCTGGCTTAAGTGACTTTTGTGGGGGAGCCTTTATTTCTCCCCTCCATTTTTCTCTCTCTTAAAAGCTAAATATTAAAACACCTGGAAATTCAAAAACAACTGGATATTGTGGAAAATTAGAAAGTGACCACAAATATGCAGGGAAAGGATCAGGCTCTGAAAAAAAACCTATCAAGATTTTCAATTTACATATCAGACTGATCTTTGGCACATAGTCTATAAGGAAAAAAAAAACCCCTCAAAATAATAACAAGTAACAGCAAACTCTGTGGTAGGAGAATATGACTTCCAGAGATACCACATTTTTAGATTCAAAGGTCCTGTTTTCAACACACAGAAAAAAAAAAAAAAAATCACAAGGCATACAAAGAACAGTAAAGTAAAGCAGGGAATGTAGCTCAGTTGTAGAATGTTTGCCTAGGATGCACAAGGCACTGGGTTCAATTCCCAGTACCATCAAAAAAAAAAAAAAAAAAAAATTGCAGTGGCACACACCTCTAATCCCAGTGGCTTGGGAGGCTGAGGTAGGAGGATCACAAGTTCAAAGCCAGCCTCAGCAAAAGCAAGGCACTAAGCAACTCAATGAGACCCCCCCCCCCCAAAATAAAATGCAAAACAAACAAACAAAGGCTGGGGATGTGGCTCAGTAGTTGAGTGCCCCTGAGTATAATCCCTGGTACCAAAACAAAAGAAAACAAAAAACAAAGAACCAGAAAGTACAGCCCATTCAAAGGAAAAATAAATGAATAAATACACAGAAGCTACTTCTGAAAAGACCTGGTAGTGTATCTACTAGATAAAGACTTTAAAAAACTACCTTAAAGATGTTCAAAGAAGAAAGAAAGATGTGGAGAAAGTCAAGAAAATGATGTGGTCCTTCCACACCATAGTTTAAGTGTTGCCTCATATTGTAAACACAATGCAAATATCAGTACAGACAGACAAACAAACAAAAAACAATAAGTTTTGCTGAAGCTGAAAAGTACTCGAACTGACATAAAAATTCCCTAGAGATATTCAAACGCAGATTTGAGTGAGTACATAAAGAAATCAGCAACCTGGAAGACAGGAAAATAAAAATTATCAAGTTCAAGGCAAAGAAGGAAGGAAGGAGGGAGGAAAAGAGGGAGAGAGGAAGGGAGGGAAGGAGGGGAGGGAAGGAAGGAAGGAAGGAAGGAAGGAAAGAAAGAAGACTGAAGTGAACAGTGTCCAAAGGAATACTGTGGCAAATCCCAGGAGAGACAGGAGAAAGAAAGAGGCATAAAGAATATCAGAAGATGGGCTGGGGTTATGGCTCAGTGGTAGCGCACTTGCCTGGCATGTGTGAGGAACTGGGTTCGATTCTCAGCACCACATAAAAATAAATAAAATAAAGGTCTACCAACAACTAAAAGATATTAAAAAAAAAAAAGAAGAAGAAGAAGAGGGGCTGGGGTTGTGGCTCAGTGGTACAGCACTTGCCTTGCATGTGTGAAGCCCTGGGTTTGAGTCTCAGCACTATATATAAATAAAATAAAGGTCCATTTACAACTAAAATACATATATATTTTAAAAAAGAATATCAGAAGAAATGACTGAAAACTTTACAAATTTGATAAAAGACATAAATATAAACAAGAAGCTCAACAAACTCCAAATAAAATGAGTCCATTGGGGCACATTTTAATCAAACTTTTCCAAGAGAAGACAGATTCCTGAAAGTAACAAGAAACAAACAACTCATTACATACAAGGGATTCTCTATAGGATTACAGCAGGCTTCTCATCAGAAACTCCAAAGGTTTTCTCCACGTGGTCCGTCCACACCATAGTTTAAGTGTTGCCTCATATTGTACATTTTGGGGAAAGCCTTGGGTGTGAATCAATGCAAACGTGGAGTAGATATTTTTCTATCATGTAAGAGTAGGTACTTTTTATGCATTGAAGGTTGATTTAAAGAAGAAGAAGAAAAGAAACTCTGGAAGCTAGCCAGACGTGATGGTACATGCCTGTAATCCCAGCTACTCAGGAGGAAGGCAAGAGGATCACAAGTTCAAGGTCAACCTGGCAGCTTAGCAGTCCATCTCAAATAAAGTGTTAAAAAGGAGATGGGGACGTATTCAGTGGTGGAGTCCTTGCCTAGTCTGTGCAAAGCAATAGGTTTAATAAGCAGTACTCAGAAAGAAAAAAAATTCTGGTTTAAAGGACAGTGAGTGTTCACAGTGCTAAACAAACCTGTCAAACAATAATCCTATACCTGGCAAAAATATCCAATAAAGATGTAGGAACAAAGACAGTCTCAAACAAAAACTGAGGGAGCCAGGCATGGTGGTGCACACCTCTAACTCCAGCAACTTGGGAAGCTAAGGCGGGAGGAAAGCAAGTTCAAGGTCAACCTTAGCAACTTAGCCAGGCCACAAGCAACTTAGTGAGATCATGTCTCAAAATTAAAAATAAAAAGGTCTAGGGATATAGCTCAGTGGTAAAGCATCCCTGGATTGAATTCCTGGTTTAAACAAAAAACAAAACACAACAACCTAGGGAGTTTTTAGATTTGCCCCATAAGAAATGCCCAAAGAAGGTCTGGGGTTGTGGCTCAGCGGTAGAGTGCTTGCCTCCCATGTGGGAGAACCTGGGTTCCATCCTCAGCACCACATAAAAATAAATAAGTGAAATAAAAGTATTGTGTCCAACTACAACTAAAAATATTAAAAAAAAAAAAAAAAAAAAAGAAAAGAAAAAGAAATGCCCAAAGAAGATCTGCAAGGTGAAATTGAAAGGCACTTGACAGCAATTCAAAGCTATATGAAGGAAAACAGATCTCAATGAAAAGTAAGTACACAGACAATCACAAAACTAATATTACTGTAAAAGCAGATTATAAACTCCACTTTTTTTGTTGTTTATTTGTTTTCTTCATGATTTATCACTGGTTCCATCCCTAGCCCTTACAATATTTTGAGATTGTAAGTTGCTAAGTGGCTGATGCTGGACATGAATTTGAGATCCCCACCCACCCCCTGCCAAGTCTCCCAAGTTGCTCAAATTGCAGGCATTCGCCACTACAGCTGGTAAGAAAGATTCATGGTAGAATCATTTTGGAAAACAGTGACAGCTTCTTAAAAAATTAAATATAAACTTACACATATGATCAGCAATTACACTCCTACCAATCTACCCAAGAGAAATGAAAACACATATCCACACAAAATTTGTAATGGCTAAAAACTAAAACAATCCCAATGTCCATAAAATGGTGAGTAAACAAAATGTGAAAGATCCAATCAAATATTCTCCAGCAATAAAAAGAAACTACTAATACACTGTACAACATATGAAATTCAAAAACATTATGTGGTCTAAGAAGCCAAACTCAAATGACAACAGATTGAAAAATTCCAATTATATGACTGAGGATGGGAAGTGAGATGATTAAACTCTAAGGGGGAGAGAACTTGTTTGGAAAAATAGAAATGTACTAAAACTTGTGATGATGGTTTCACAACTCTGTAAACTTACTGAAAAAGACTGAATTATACATTTACAATAAGTGAATTTTATGGGATATAAATTATACCTCAATAAGTGGTTAGAAAACAAAATAAAATCCACTAGCTTATACTGATATAAATACACAAATATAAAGTTTGAGATGGAATGAGATATTTTCATAATTTCCAAGCTTGTCTCCATAAAATTAAACACAAAAGAAAAGAGTATCTTTACAATCAGGAAAACAATAATGTTCAAAGTATTCAAACTAAGTAAACTGAAATCCTGTGCAAAGTAAAAAAAAAAAAAAATCTAATTATAACACAGTTATCACTTTAGTGAAAATTTCTGCCAAAGATGCACAACCTGGACCTAATAATGAGGACAATTCTGCAAAACTGGTCTCTACTCTTCAAAAAGGTCAAGGTCATAAAAGTAAAAACTGAGGAACTCTTCGAGATTGGAGGAGACCAAAGAATTTAGCTACAACTAAATTCAATAAAGACTCTGCACTGAAGCATTTAACCCTGAAGAACATTATTGGTACAACTAGAGACACAAATAGAGTCTGAGGATTAGATAATACTCATTTATCAATGTTTTTTTCCTGATTTTGAAGGTAGTGTTATGGTAAGGTAGGAGAATATCTGTGTCCCTGAAATACATAAGCAGATGAGAACAGGCAACATTCATGTTGGCAACCTGATTTCAAATAGTTCA